GGTACACCTGGTAACCAATGACTATTAATTTGTAAATAACACAGGTGCACGATGGGGTACACCTGGTATCCAAGGACTGCTGATTTATGGCTAACACAGGTGCACGATAGGGTACACCTGGTAACCAATGACTATTACTTTGTAGATAACTCAGGTGCACGATGAAGTACACCTGGTATCCAGAAACTACCAATTAATGGATAACACAGGTGCACAATAGGGTACACCTGGAATCCAGAAACTGCTATTTTGTGGGTAAACCTAGATGCACGAAAAGGTACACTGGAATTCAATGCTGCTATACAGGGAGAATCAAGGACCTACTGTGTGTAAATAATATTGAGTGTATATGAGGAGACACCAGTTCAAATTCTGTTAGAAGGAGAGTGTTACTAAGAATAACTGTTTTGAAAAAGGATTCAGTGCAGGCTCCAAACAAAAAAACCAGATAATCATGAAAAAGAACTGTTAGTTCTCAAAATGGCTGATTCAAGATGGCGGCCGATGCAAAAATGAAACTCACTGAGACTGTTCAAAAACAGAGAATGGTGTTCAGATCCACAAAATGGCGGACACAATTCTTAACAATTATTTGGCCACCACTATGCATCTCTGAGCCTCCCTATAGGATCCAGAGAACTCCTGCAATGAGAAAATCACTAAAGAGCTTCAACAGAGCAGTCGAAGCCTCCAAAAAGCAAAAGCAGCTCACCTGCCTCTGCTGCCCTGCTTAGCTGCCTAATTGAACTTCCAGCCAGCTGATTCGACGAAAAAAACCCGTTCGAAGCAGCATGTGCTCAGCCGGCAACAGGGGCTGCAATAGGGAAGCAACGATCCCTCAGCCCCCCAGAACAGCAAGGACAGCCTGTAAATAACAAGGCAAACAACAACAACAACAGCGTTTTAAACTGCTGATAAGCCTGCCTGCTGATTAGCACTTCCACCCCCACCTCTTGAATTGTAACTCTTGGAGCTGCGTTCCAGACCCCAAACAGGGAAGGAAACTGAAGCAAAATAGAAAGGACAACTATAATTGTTCCTGGAGAATTACTAAATGGAACTGAACTTAATAGGAATCCAACAGAGAAGGTTAGGGAGGATAGAAGAAAATGAAACTGAAAGACAACAAAACGCAGAAAGAAAAGCTGATCCCAGCCTCACTTTAAGATTAAGAGGGGAAGGAAGGGGGTTGAAATAAACAGCAATCTGACTCCAGTGCTGAGCCCAGCACTGATCAGAAAACTATTTAAAGTCAAGGAAAGATGGAAAATCCACCAATGGAGACTATACCTGCCTAAGAGCCAAACTTGCACATCTGTCCATGGGCAAGATCAAGTCAAGACTGGGACCTTCTGGCCCAGGAGAGGCGTGGCAACTTTGGCTGACTTGATCTAATTGGGCAGGAACACAGTCTAAACCCATTGGTGGATTCTCCATCTCCAGTGCTGGAGAAGTAATCCGATACATCTGACGGGCACCAAGTTTGAGACTTCTATTAGTTTACCTAGAAGAAATCAGTGTGTAAGGACCCACCCCACTTTGCATCTTAAGAAAACAGAACTCTTGGAATAATTCTTCCAACAGGCATCCTTTATTAAGAGAAAATGGTTGCAGGCGTTCTAGACAGGACTTGGGGTCCAAGCTCTCCCATTCAAGGTTTTAAGGGGTTCCCCAGTAGCCCCACCCAATCACCCCCTTCTTCCAGCAACAGTCTCAGGCATTACACTCCCACCCCCTTTTCCTTACTGCCGGCTGGATGGAGACTTCAGAGAGAACTACATGAAGGTAATAGCCCCATTGTTATGGTTAGTCCTTTTGGTGATATACACCTCCAGTTCCTTTGAAGTGTACCAAAGGAAGTGAGGGCCATAAAGCCCCTTTGTTCACCCCCTTCCCTTCATCGTATGGCAGAATCCAGAGAAGGCAGAAATGGTATTTTCTATAGTTGATAATTAGAGATGAAATATAATTGGATTCGGACATTGGCACAAATATATAATCATAACACTTCTACAACCCCTAGGAAGAACGATAGCTCACAAACCCACATTTACACTCAGAAAAGAGCTATCTAAATCAAAGAGAAAATACAGAAGGAAGACAATTTTGTAGTATACAAAATCAATTGCAACAATTGTAACCAATTCTATATGGGACAAACAGGAAGGCAACTGAAAACAAGGGTTCATGAACACCAACTAGCAGTTAAAAGGCACAACCAAAAATCACTGATAACAAATCACATTGATAATAAACACCAGTTTGACTGGGAAGGAACAAAAATCATTGGGCATGCCAACACCCGCCACATATGTGAATTTATTGAAGCCTAGTATTCTACCGAAGGAGCAATTAACAAGCATATTGATCTAGATCGAGCATATGAACATGTAAGAAACCAGAGGTTCTCCTGCTTGAGCAGGGGGCTGGACTAGACAACCTCCAAGGTCCCTTCCAATTCTATTCTGTTCTATTATTCTGTTCTATTCTATTCCTTCACAAACCTTGTTATTGAGGCAGATTAGAGATTAGCTGTCTGTTCAGTGCAACTTATGCTCCTATATTTTTCTGCTGATTCAAGACTCTGAGATTACATGGCCCAAAGGAACAATCTTGAATCTTGCAATCCTCCAAACTTTCCTACCCCAAGACTGCCATCTTCCAGAGATGTTGGACAATAATTCCTATTACCCAAAGTGAGCATGTGGAAATACTGGTTGGAGATGATGGAAGTTGCAGTCCAAGACAACTGAAGGGACCAAGAGGAAATAGGTTTGACATCTCTGCTCTCTCACATAACGTAAAGGAAGATAACTAAAATGTTGGTTTTAAAGGAAAATTTCAAATGCACAGATTTCCCTACACATAAGACAGGCCAATATCACAGTGGGAAACTGTGGCCGAAAGTGGTGGAACACTGGGTACAGACAAGGGGAACTCATTGTTACATTCACTGGATTAGCAAGTGAACACTTGCTAAATTTGACATTAGCATATAAAATTAATCCTTTCAAAATGTGTTAAATTTGCCAAATCCTACAGAAGAGAAATAAATATTGTTTGTAATATATTTTGTTTATATTATAGTGTCTTTCTCTTCTCATATTTTTGTCTTTTGAATCAGGACTAGAAAGAAGTCTGGCAGAATGGGAATATATTTATAAAATTATTCCTGCATTACTGATTTGCTAGCAAATCTCCCTTTGCTTAGGAAATAAATGCCAGGGAAGATGCAGGTTTTAGATTTAAGTTAGAATCAGGGAAAGCAAGGTGACTGTTTCACATACACATGATGAGCCATAAATCAATCAACATCATTTTAGTACAGGCAACTTTTTACTTATAACCACAATTGGGATCAGAATTTCAATTGCTAAACAAGGTGATTCTTTAGTGAGACACATCTGATTTTACAGACTTTTTGCAGCAGTGGTTAAGCAAGCCACTGCAGTTGCTAAACAAATCATGTGGTCATTAAGCGAATCCAGCTTCCCCGTTAACTTTTCTTGTGGAAAGCCAGTTGGGAAGGTCAGAAATGGTGATCACATGACTCTGGTACACTGCAACAGTTGTAAATGCCAGTTGCCAAGCACCCAAATTCTGATCACGTGACTGTGGAGAAGCTGCAACAGTAGTATGAGTATCAGGTTAAGTCCTTTTTTTTCATAGTCAATAAAATTAAATGTATGATTCATCCTTCATACAAACCCAAAATATTGTCACGTGCAAACAAAAGGTTAAAGTAATGCTGAATCTCATACAAGCAACAAATAGAATGCTTGGAACAGCTGGGAGGCCATGGAACAACTGCAGCAGATCAGTACCATTACATGCTTGATAAAAGCTGTAGTCACACATGTTAAAATAGAGGTCCCTATTCTTTTAGGACTGCTAGGCATATTTTAAATTCTAAGATGTTATGGTTAAATTTGTTAAACAGTTACTGTGTGGTTTGCCTATTCTCAAAATGATTTTCACCAGGGCCACATTTAAGTTCTGTGATTATAACAGAATAATAATAAGACCCTGTGTTACGAAACAGAAACAGTAAAAGGCAGTCAAAATGCAAATCCTATTTCTGTGTGGCCCCACATTCAGATCTAGTTTACCAGAATGCAAACATGGCAGCTCTCAACTGTTTTCTCCTATATAAAATTTCTAAAATGTATTTATTTCTGGCAAGCCGACACCACCAGAGTGTTTTATCAATTTCCTTTCTCCTAAAAATCATGAGATTCAGAACGGAGCCCTTCATTGTATTTGTTTACATCCCATCTTTATTACTTTTTTAAATATAAATACCTCAAAATGGCAAACATAACTAATCCTCTTTTCCCCACAACAACTCTTGTGAGGTGGGTTGGGCAGAGAGAGAGAGCGGTCTAAAGTCACCCAGCCGGTTTTCATGCCCAAGGAAACCAAGGTCTCCTGGTGGCTTTCTAATCTGGAGCCTTCTCAACCCCGCCTAGATCAAACTGGCAACTTCCTACTTTAAAAAAAAAACAAAAAAAACCCATTTCTATTTTCTATTTAAGACATGGGACGGAACGAAAGCCTGGTTATAAAACACGTGTCCTCAAAAATAATAATAAAAAATGCTCCGAGACCTATTCTGGACATTGCAGCATTATAGTTGCATCGGATGCCGAGGTTCATACAAAACGGCAGACCGCGAATAAGCCAATCTTCCGCGGCTTGAGATGATGAGCTGGGTTTTTACAACAAGGCGCTTTAAGATCTTTGCTCTTTGCCTTGGTGGCTTGTAAATCGCGGCTTAACCTACCGCGCAAACCGCAGCCGCCATTAACAACCTTAGGGTTAGCCGTAGCCAAAAGACCAACAACAAAGGGCAGGGCCCGAGGGTCTCGTCCGCAGCCCAGCGGCAGTCACGTGACAGAAAGCTCCGACTCCCGGCGCACGCCTAAGAGCACTACACCTCCGCGCCTCGCATGCGCATCCGGTAGCAAGTGCCGCTGCTTTGTGCGGACTGGCCGCCCTCGCGTCGGTCCTGCTGCTTTGAGAAAGGTGCGCGCGGGGAGGGGGCGGGGGAAAAGGTTCCGCACGGTGACGCAATAAGGTGCCGTAGCCACAACATCTAAAGGGCGCGTTCCGCAGTGAGAGTTTGGCACGACGACTGCAGGTTGGTTTGCGTGGCGGATGGTGCGGGAGGCAGAATAAGGTTTAATGGTGAAACACTGGCGGGGAGAGTCGTCGGTGTTTTTACTTAACAGTAAGGAGGGGCTCCGAGAAGTTAAGTTCGGGGGGGGAAAGAGGGACTGGGGGGGGGTTGTAGCAGCAACAGCAACAACTTTTAACGTCCTTTAAAGGCAGTTTGTAGCCGGTTGCATAGACTGGCAAAGCAACTCTTGGGATTGTTTTTATTTATATGCGCTTAGGCTTGCTTTCTTCCAAGGATATCAAGATGTTCCCGTAGTTTTTCACAGCAACCTTGTAAGGTAGGATGGTAGCTTCTTGTGTTTGCAGGAACGGGCTGGGATTCTCTAGTCAGTATTATGACTCGTACTTGTGGAGTGTTACAGAGGTAGTCCTCGACTTACAACAGTTCATTTTAGTGATCGTTCGAAGTTAGAACCGTACTGAAAAAAGTGACTTAGGACCATTTTTCACTCTTATGATCATTGCAGCATCTCTATAATGTGATTAAAATTCAGATGGTTGGCAACTGACTCATTTATGATGGTTGCATGTCTCTGGGTCATGTGATCACTTTTTGCAACCTTTTGACAAGCAAACTCAATGGGAAAGACAGACTTAGTAACTTAAATCATTGTAGTGATTCACTTAACAAGAAAGATCATAAAATGAGGCAAAACTTGCATCACAGATGTTTCACTGAGCAACAGAAATTTTGGGCTCAATTGTGTTCATAAGTTAAGGACTACCTGTATTAGCAATCATAATAGGTGTTTGACTCTGAGGATGAAGGTTGTCGTAGCCTAACATATCTGGAAGAGACCAGAGCCGAGTTAATTGAATTCCCAAGCGCATTTTACAGAACAGTCCTAGCATTCAGGAAGGAATTAATTCTTATTGGAATTCTGCCCGGTCTCTGGTTGCTTCGGTCGGTGGAACATTTAATTATTTGTGAAGTATTGATAGCTGTAGTTGCTGCCAGTTGTGGTCCTAAATTTTCCTACAATGATGCATTGGGTGAGCTTAACTGGGGAAAAAAAATTATAATCAAAGTATTGTTTTCAGGCAGAAGAACGAACTGAGTCTGCTGTTTGTCTTAGTTTGGAGGCAAAGCGGAGGGTGTTGGGTGAAGAGTTGAAAAGATCCACGTGTTTTTTTCTTTCTCATTCATTTTGTAATAGAAGCTGTGTTGTATCCACAGCAGCTGCATTTCTTCAGTTGCAACTCCCAAGTTGCAGAATTCCACACACAGATTGTTTGCTCACCCAACTCTTCCTTTGCATTGTGATGACATTATTTTGGTCACACCTTTGGTATGAGCTTTCATTCATATTCCTTGTACCATTGCAAGGCTGTGAGGATGCAGCACAGTACTGTACTGTAATTTATATTTTAGGCTCAGTGCCACAGTTTTCTTTAAACAAAAATGACTAATTTAGCACTAATTTATAACACTGTTATAAAGGTGTGGTTAAAGGAGAGTTACAATGCAAAACATTCGCTAAAAATGTTGGTATTGTTATTTTTCTATTAAAAGTGTTAAAACCTGAGCTTAATCCAAAAATAGGCATTGTGGTGTCAATGGTTACCTTACATCCACCTTCCTTGGTATTTATCAAATGTCTTGCCTCATCCAATTTTAACTTAAAAAAAAAAAAATTAACTTTCAAAACAATTTTCTCAGTTCAAATATTCTATTAGTTTATTAAAAATAACAGATGGAAATACAAACAAAAATGAAAATAATGGGAAAATAGGGAGGAAAAGGAGAAGAGAAAAAAAGGGGGCCAGGGGGAAAAGAAAAAGAAAAACATCGACTTCTAATTCCATTTGATGCAGTAGAATAAAGTCACATAAAACCTCATTTTTTTTACTTCTATCTAATCTTATACACTTGCCATTTCTATAACAACAAATCAGCAAAACCTAAAAGTTTCATTCCCCCCCCCTCAAAATAATTCTTAAATAAAATATAGAAATGAGTATCTGGTAGGCAATGAAGCATCAGGTTCACCTTTGAGTACCAGAATGCTTTGGGGTCCTTTGAAAGAAAATGGTGGTGATTGCAATTAAGTATAGTGCTTGATAATAGATTTACTTTCCCAGGAAAATGGATAGGAAATTAAACTGGATGATTCAGATCAAGCTGAGGGTAAAGATAGTGGCAGAGGGCCACTTTCTGGAAAGTGTTTTGTATCTGATCATGAACAATATTTGGGGTGCATCAGTGACACATTCTTCAAATTTCAGCTGTGCCTGCCATCCTCCAAAAATTGCCTAATTATCTAATTTATTAAAGAAAACTCAGAAGTGGACCATTCTCCCCTCCCCACCATATATCCTATACAGCCTGTCTAAAAGCAGCAATTCCCAATTTGGCAGTCTCTAGTTATGTGGACTATACCAATATTGGGGAAGGTTTTGCAAGAAAATAACACTTTCAGCTCCCCAAGGAGACAAATCTAATGAGTTCATAAAGGGATTGACTTTATCATTTCACATACATCAAAGTCCACTGATTTATAACTTGCAAACATTTTAAACGGTCTACGTAAAAAAAATGAGTACTTCCATAATGTGATAAAATATTTATTCAGAATTACTTGATACTGCTTGACAGTCCTTACAGAGCCGCCTTTTCTGGCTCCAGAAATATATCTTCACTCAGATATTTTAATTCTAATAATGCTCTCTTGAGGTTATGGGTACCATAGTTCAAAATATTGGGTGTCCTTTCCCAGCCTAATGCTTATCTTGTTCCTAAATAGGATTATAGAATAGGCTAATCTTGGATAAATTGAATATTTCCCTCCCTCCCTTCTAATATAATCATACAGTGGGAATCAGTTCTCTTATTTAGCTAAGATTATCCACTGTGAATCCCCCTCCTGCAAAAAAAAAAACAAAAAAAAAAACAAGAGAAATGTGCATGATCCTGTGTACAGGGTTGAAGATCTTTTGGGATGTTTTCCTTCAGAATTTGGATTATTGGACGGCATATGTTTTTAAGACTGTATTGTCCATGTGAAATTTGTGCTAATGGTGGAAGACTCTTATTCCCGTGTAAATTTCCCCCTCTGCTCTACTTATAGTTCATGTGGGATTACCCTTGACATTAATTGCAATGGGATCTTTCCACTCAGTGGACACGAGTAACTATTGCTCCAGGAAGCAGAAAGAGAATGATGAGGATTTGTTGACCAATAAAGATCGAGAAGACGATATTGCCAAGTTTCCGTATGTGGAATTCACTGGGCGGGACAGCATCACCTGCCCCTCCTGCCAAGGCACTGGCTGCATTCCCACAGGTAATTTTATGGGTCCTGCTTTTGTTGAGTGGTTTTGTTTTGGACTTGAACATTTCATGATCCTAGCACGCCACTCTTTCCTCGCTTCCTACCTTCAGCGTTTCCTGCTGATATTTCATATTTGACCTAAAAATGTAATGATGACATTTGAAGAACAACTTTCTTGTCAAATGATTGGATGTTATTTAAAACTTCCCTTCCATTCTGTGATTGGGCTTATCTCTTTGATCTAGCTTGGTTTGCATGTATTGAACCATTTGCTTGTTCTGCAAGGAATCCTTAGCGTGGTGGTGTTTATCATTTGTTTCCTTGACTGACGCAAGGAATGATGATGTAATGGGGTTAGGGTTGTTTGGAGAAATTTTCTTTCAGGGCAGAACTTGGCCTGCAGGTTCTCGCAATCTTTTTTGCTGTGTAGTTCTATAATCTCACCACTTGTATACTTCATCAGGGCCTGGTTTTGAGAATTTGCTCCATCTCACTTTGTCTTACCTACATGATATGAGGCTGTGTTATTTAAGGGACTGCCTTTCCTTAATTACATCTGCCCAACCTGCGGATCATGTTGATTAAGGAGTTTAATTGACAGGATCAAAGTGATGGGGCTTTTCTGCTGTGCCCCCAACCCCCCAATTTATGGAATCCACTTTCCTGCAAAGTCAGGCTGGCCTCATCCCTTTTAACTTTTAACTTTCAAGGCCTGGCTGAGGCCTAGGCATCCAGGGAACTGGCAAAATATTGAAATAGCTCCTGGTTAATTAACACATCCTCTTCACCTGACCTCTTTAAATTTTGTCCTACCTTTTATAATTTTAAAGTTTCTAATATTAACAATATTACCGTATTTTCTGCCGTATAGGACGACTCGGCGTATAAGACGTCCCTGACTTCGGCGCTGATTTGCATGCCTAGAAAGTCGTCTTATATGCCGGAAACTACCGTAATTTCTGGCGTATAAGACGACCCGGCATATAAGACGACCCCCGACTTCGGCGCCGATTTGCATGCTTTAGAAAGTCGTCTTATACGCCAGAAAATATGGTAATAATATTTAGAAGTTTGTTGTATGCCATCTCACATGACTGTGAGATAAGCGGCTATATAAATATGAATAAATAAATAAAATCTTCTTGATTCTCTTCCTCCTTCTACCTCTGCCCCCATTGATTGCCACAATCACACATATAATTACCAATGCCGTTGCGGCTGATGTGCCTGAAATCAAGTCTCTCCTCAAGTAAAAGCTTTGACAGACCTACTTTGACATATCCTTGTGGTATGAAACGCTGCTGTTTTGGACTTGTAAATGTTTACAATGTAGCATAATGAGTGAAACCAGCCTGGATCTACTCCTGTCAACCTTACATTGCTGCTGGCATTACACGCAATATCTTTTGTCTGGTGCCTGAGACTTAAAATTTCACTAGTATATTGCAGTGGCTTAGAGACCTGTTTCATTTTTGCCATATGAATGGAATTGTTGCTTAAGCTATTTCTGTCTGTTTATTTAGATTAAAAAATCCCCTGGAAGACTATATATAGTGCTCCAGAGAGGTTCCTGTGTTTTACTAAGCATATTACATGTTGTCTTTTCTTGATATCAGGACAAAAATGTGACTTTTAAAATGATGTGTTTTTCACTTCCACTCACAATGTGTTTAAAGTAAGAGTCTAAAAATGGTCCTTTCTCACAGAGAGGCTGGTACTCAGGGCTATTATTACTTTTGTCTCCAGAGCAAGCTAACGAACTGGTTGCTTTGATTCCATATCATGATCAAAGATTAAAACCTCAAAGAACGTAAGTATATAGGAATAATGAATTCCTTTTCTTATGCAGCGTATAGAATTTGATCGTGCATAAAACAAATGAATATCCAGCTGAAAAATGACTTGTGTTTCCAACCCCACCAATGTCATTTGAGAATGTTTTGAAATCATTTTAGTCTCTAAAATGCCTGGGTGCTTCTGGATTATAATTTAATGTGATCAGGCTATCAATATAATTTGCTATCCTCAGTCTGTCTCTATAATTACACCAAGTAAATTAATGGGAGGCAATGTTGTCATTTTTTTCAGTCCAGCTTAGAACATTCTCTCTCTCTCTCTCTCTCTCCCCCCCTCCCCCTCTCCCTTTCCCCCTGTCCCCCTCTCTCCTTTATGATTACTTTGAATAGCTATCATTTGAAATAATGTATGTCTGAGATGTGGAAATGCCCTTGAACAACAAAGAATATCAATTGACATGTCTATGGGGAGAGACATTTTCCTGGACTGAAGTAGGAAGTATTACTTTTGGGAATGAAATTTCATGAAGAGAATATTTCAGATTAGAGTTTCTCAATCCTGGCAACTTTAAGATGTCTAGGCTTCAACTCCCAGAATTCCCCAGCCAACAAGCTGGCTGGGAAATTTGGAAGTCGAAGTTCAGACTACTTGCTAAGGTTGAGAAACACTGCTTTAATTGAAGCAGGACTGAGGACTTGATGATTCTTCACAGGCTACTGGCTTACAGTTTTCAGTCCCCCTTATTATATGTTACATAGACTGGGGCTGTTGAGAACTGGAATTAGCAATAAAAGAATTCTGGGTTAGATTTTTCATTTTCCTCACTGAAATCTTATTTGAAAATGATCAGTATGAATAAATAAAGCAGTTTTAAGAGTAGTAGTTTGAAATAGAAAAATTAAAATAGAGAAGGCTTATCTTTAATTTTAAAAAATCCTTCTCAGTTTTATCTCCCATATACTCAATGAGATTAACTGTGAAAGTGAGAAATTGAAGTCTTAATCATGGCATGGGAGATCTAATTTTTGCTTAAGATTGTACAGGGCCCTGGCAGAATAACAAGCATTTGACATAGTTGCCTGTTTTCAGGCTATCTGAAATATTTTGTTGGAACCTGATTTGCGCCTCCAGAAAAAACTAAAATGCATTTTAATTTAGAATGCTTGAGTAGATTCCCCTATACAATAAACTCATTTTCCAGATCATACAATGTCTGATACGCAGACTCAGAATTTTGGAAATGATAAACAACAATACAGGGTTGAGATGCATTAATGAATTAAATATTAAGTAGAATGTCTTCCATTTCTATAATAGCTGAGTAGAACGCGGAATCTTTTGCAATATGTAGCAAGATCTGCCTGCAGGATCTGAGCACAGCAAATTGCCTGGACTATTTATTGGCTTTGCCTTCTGCAGGAAACTCTACGTCTCTGTGTCAGTGCTGCTCTGTCTTCTGGCATCAGGGCTGGTGGTCTTCTTTCTCTTTCCACATTCAGTGCTTGTGGATGACAATGGCATCAAGGTGGTTACAGTCTGGTTTGATGAAAAAAACTCCCTAGTCATTCTTTCCATCACGGTAAGGTCCAGTACATTACCTTAATAAAGATAGATGATGGGGGCAACTGGAAATCTGTTTTCAGCAGTTTTCCTTTCTCCTGTCCATAGGCCACCCTTCGGATCCAGAATTCCAATTTCTATTCGGTAGCTGTGACCAACTTGTCCAGTCAGGTGCAATACATGAACACTGTGGTTGGGACCCAACAAATCAACAATGTTACTCGTATCCAGCCACTGAGTGATCAGCTGGTATGGCAATTATTTTACATGAAACTGAGATCTATGGAGAGAGGGACTAGGTGTGGTGAGAATAGATAATCTTGTGTCTCCGGGGGGGGGGGTCCCAATCTTGGCAACATTAAGACACGTGGACTTCCAACTCCTAGAATTTCCCAGCCAACCGTGATGGGGAATTCTGGGAGTTGAAGTTCACGTGTCTTAGAGTTGCCAAGATTGAGAACACCTGCTTTAGCTAACTCAAGAGTTGCTTATCCTATTGAAAGACAATTTAGCTCCTAAAAGAATCAGTGTCCCCATGGACGCCTCTGTGGGTTCCTTGCAGTATGAGATTTATTTTTAAATCATTTTACTAAAAAGTCAATAAATGGGAAACTTGGAATCTCCAAAGTGCCAATGATCTGTTGCCACCCAAAATTGTGCTGTAAGATGACTAGCCCTACATCTTTTTAAAAAAATACTAAAGAATGTCTCTTGACTCAAAATAGACCCCATATTTATTCTGAAAAAAAAAATGCAATGCTTGACTTTATTTGTTGTCTCCCCCCCCACGCCATTAAAGAGAGGATGTTGAGAGCATGTGGGGGCATGGGTGCCTTGATGTTTGGAGGGGTTTTTTTTGTGACTGGTACCATCCACTATGGCAATCTCTTTGTGAAGAAGCAAATGCTTGCTTCAGAGTGCTTTACTGTTGCTGGCTTATAGTTAATTCACAACTTGTGTTTCTCCAGGTGAATTTCACCATGAAAGCTGAAATGGGTGGACCTTATGTATAGTGAGTAATTTGTGTTCTTGGCATTTGAAGTGTAATAAAGAAATACAATATTTGCTGTGAAATAGTTGCCACTGCTAGGTTCCCTAATAAAGTTTCAGCTACCTTATCTTATAGCTGCAGTAGAACTATGGTAGCTCCCTCGAGGTTAGAAGGCCAGTGGATGGGCATGATTTATGTGTAAGCTTTCACTTATGTTCTAGATTTCCAAGTATCATTTGTTCTTATTTCCATTTGACCAAATTTTAAAAAAACTTTCTTTGCATGCTTCCATGTCAAATAAGAAAAATTAGGAGTACCTTCTAGATCAGTGATGGCGAACCTTTTAGAGACCGAGTGCCCAAACTGCAACCCAAAATCCACTTATGCATTGTCGAGTGCCGGGTGGGTGTGGCCCATTGGGTGGGTGTGGCCCATTGGGTGGGCGTGGCCCATTGAGTGGGCATGGCTGCGGTGGTAACGGAAGACTGGGTGGGACTAAAAAGTTCAATCAGTCCCAACTTTGCAAGATCTTTTTTTTTCTCATGAGAAGTTAAAATTGACTGAACCTTTTTTTTTTTTTTTGCATATGGCGGTAGAGGCCTGAAGTGAAAATGTTTTATAAAACCCAGCTGAAGGCCTAGGACTGGGGTGACAGCATGCATGCCCACAGAGAGGGCTCTGAGTGCTGTCTCTGGCACCCGTGCCATAGGTTCGCCACCACTGACCTAGATACTTCAGAAGCCATAATCATTCTCATTGCTTTCCCAAACCACTGGAAGAACCCAACCTTTAAAAAAAATTTTTTTAATTGTATGAATGGTCTGAAAAGTATGTGTAGAGTATTTTCCTAGTTGTTCCAAAAGAAAACGTATTCCTAAAAAGTTGTTTGCTGTGTCAATCTGCTACTGTTAAATGGTATCTCTACTAAATGTTGTACAGTCATATCCTGCATGTATTTTTTTTTTAAAAAATGTTGTTTTAGTGCTAGTGAGCTTTGTGATTGGAAGTGAAAACTGAATACCGTAACACATGGTGATTGATTTAACAAAAATCTCCTGAGATATAAAAAATAGTCTATAATTTAACTAAAGCTAAAAACAGATTTGGCAATAAAATCTGCTCAAGCTTAAATTCAAAAGGCACTGGCTGTACCACGTTCTGGATATAGAACAATAGTTTTAAGATTTCTTGCATCATTTAGTCTCTAAATATTTTAAGATTTTGTGATTTTCTCTCTTTTAGTTTCTTCTGCACATTACCAAAGATCCGAGTGCACAATATTGTGATTTTCATGAGGTGTGTAATTTTTATGTATTTTTTAAACCTTTTTTATATTTCCAAATATAAATCCATAACTAGTCTTCTAGTATTGGGGGGGGGGGCAGTCACTTTTTCTTAATCTCTAGAACCTCTTTTAATAATTCTGCTGATTTTTGATAGCAGTTGCCAAAAGCTGGCATTATTATGGCTTGCTCTCCCCCCCTTCCCCCCCCTCTCTCTATATATATATAGAGAGAGAGAAACTGGAAAAACCAGTTGAACTGTTATGTATATTCTGGATTAGTCTTTAACACATAATAAAAAAGTCTCTCCAAAAATAACAGTCCTCTCCTCCCACATTTAATGCCTTTATCTTACTGCTTTCTTATAAAAACACCTAGTGAACGACCCAGGTTTGCTAAGAAAGAGAGGGAGGGTTTTGTTGGGTCTTTTATATGTCATTAGGTCCCAGATTAGTCTCTAAATCTGACCACCGCCTTGCCTAGCAAACTTACATTTTGCTGAACTATTTTCTGGGTTTCTGAAGGGGAAGAGTGGAGTTGCAGGAAATTTAAACCAGGTGAGGAGTCTGTGCTCCTCTAGATCTTGTTGGTTTTTAATTCCTACCCTCTTTGGTCCCCCTGGCAACTGGTAAAAGACGCTGGCGGTTGTAGATTCCCTTCCTTTGCTTTAAATGGAGATAATTTTATTGATACATACAGTGCCGCCCTGGAACTTTGCGGATGGTTTTTGATGGCAGCTTGAGCATTGTCCAGTGTGGAGCTGCTGTATTTGTATGTTGAATAATACAAACATTCTGGCCCACAATTTAATATTTTGCTATAGGTATATACGTTGTGAGGACTCCGCTTACTTTTTGGTTTATTAAAAAAAAAGGTTTCATCTTTTTCTCTTTGTTTCTGCCTTTCAGAACCTCAGTGAAAATCTCCTACATTGGCCACATATCTCAAAGTTCCTTGGAGACCTACAATTACGTTGACTGTGGCGCCAACTTCACAGCGGCCCATTCTGGCCCTTAACCCCCAATTTTGGAAGATGAAGCTTAAGAGAAGGGCAGCTACATATCCTGATGATCCTAACCAACTGGCTTCCATTACTGTGTAACTTATGGTGGAATTTTGTGTCTTGTTTTGAGGAGAAAGAAGAGGCTGTTTTAGCCCTTGGCAAAATGAAAAGGCTGGGCATGTAGCCTTCCTTCCACAATTTTGCATGGACAGCTGGGCTGTGCCTTGATGCTGATTTGAAGAGGATTTGTTTAATCCCAGTCCCCACATTCTCTTCAGATGCTAGTTTGTGCTTTTCTTGTTATTTCTCATGGACTGACTTTGCTTCCTAATAAGATTTGTCATGTTTGCAGGTTTTTCCATTAAAATTTAAGAAGGGACGAGTTTCTGAAAACATTTGGCTGGACTACTAACCGTGAAACCTATTTCAACAATGACCTTCTGACATAGTTACTGCCAGTAAGGGAGCTATTGTCCAATTGTACAAAGGGAAATAATCTTGAATACGGTTCCTGTGTACTCTTTAAAACTTCTGTCTTGCTTATTGTCAGAGAAAGCAAGAATATGTATCCACTGAAACATCTGAATGTAGCAAGTTGCACTCTTTATATGTGAGATTTCTATAAATATATTGTCTTTTCATTGATATAACTTCTAAAAACTACTTTCATAGTTCTGTGCACAGTGTTCTAGAGAGCACATGACTGAATTAAGAATTCTCACATTTGCTGAATCTATAGTCTCTTGATTTGTTTGCGTCGAAGAATGAGCATCATGGAAGGACTTCAGATTTTTACAGAAGCAGTGAGCACTTTTTAATCTTTGGATCTCCAGTCTCTTGAATTTGGGATTACGGTGGTTTAGCTGGCCTTTATTATTAGCACAAGAAGAGTTTGATTGTGCAGATTTTGGTAGGGTTGGGGAATATTTGGTTTTCCACAAAAAGTTTGATCTTAGTGTTGCTGTGTAGTACCACCTCTTAAAAAAATTAGTGTGGGATATACATTTAAAAAGTAACACTGGAATTGGGCAAAGATATGTGTGTAGGAAATAATCCTCATTTTTCAAATACCAACTGTAGCAGTTCATCTTTAAAAAATTTAAGTGTCCTAACTCACCTGCTATGTTCTCTTGAAGAAGAAAAAGAAACCTATTTAAACTTGAAGTAAATTTTAAATTTTATTTTTTACTCTTTCAATGACGGGGGAATTTATGTTCATTTAGAATCTGTATTTTTCAGTTTGGCAGACTGGATTCCTAAAATGAAGAATAAACCCTTAAACCTCCTCCTTTGAGGAGTCTTCTGGTTTTCCTTTATCAAAATGGATTTTTCTTTTTTATTTTAAGGGGCTAATGGAGACACAGAAGGAACCATTTCAGGACTGACACTAAGCAGCAGCTGCAAATAAAACCACTGAATGTGAAGTCTGTTAGGGTGAGGAAGCCAACAACCACTTGTAACTGTAATGGATTATTGCTCGGTGGCATATCCCCCCCCCAATAAGTCTTAATCTACTTGTTTAACCACATTTCCTATCTACCAACTCAGTTTACAGATCATCAATTATCATACTTTAAATGAAGATACAGTAAAACCTCAACTCAGCAGACTTGTGAGGCGATGGATAACGTTTTTCTTTTTGTGTCACCCACAAATAACAAGACAAAAGCCCATTTCCGAAGCAGTCTGGACAACTGTCACACAAGTGTCACACAAATGGTGTAAATTGATGGAAATGGCATCATTCTGGAGTTAACGGACAATCCTTCCCCCTCGTCTGTTAAATTGAGGTTTTTCTGCAATGGACCATTCATGCAGCAGTTCACAAGTGAAGGCATTGCGATAGCAAGAACAGGTGAGAATGGCTAGAAGGAGAAGTATTTATCATGCAGCGCACGGATTTGAATATGAGGTGGATGAAGTTCTCATGGACGTAGATGTGCTTAGTTGCCTCTGTATAATGCTACAGCAAGACACCCAACAGGAGCTAAGTAATAAGGGGTAAAGCAATATAAGTTAAGCAAATGCTCTTAGGAATCTTCCTGCTCAACTATTTGCCGAGTTTTTCTACTTCTGTCACCTTAAACGCTAGATCTGATGCAGTTGGAATTAAAGGGAGGCAGGAGATGATCAAGTGGAGAGAATTAAGAGTATTGTCATTTTCTCGTGGACTCCTGGGAACATAGAAGGACTTCTGAGATCCCCTGAATATCATGTCCCTAGCTTGCATTTGACCAATTGTTACAAACTCTGTCGCTATCAGTTTCCTTCTCCTCTTCTCCTTCCCAGCATAGTAATTTCCAAAGGGCCCAATATTTACTTTCTACCAAATGCTCTTCCTTATTTGCTGCTGCTGTAAAGAGGAAAAAAAAAAAAACCACGGAAATATTCCCACCCACTTGCAATCCAACTCTGGAGAGCTATCACAAGAAGGAATAATAAGTCACTGTTATTACATCTTCTTACATTGTCACATACTTACAAGGTACAATCCAAGAGATTACAACAGCTGCACAGGGCCAATATTAGCTCTGGCACTTCCACATCCCTCCCCCCACTTCCGCCCACCTTACTTTTAGAACCCCAAACCTGGGGCTTGCACAAGAGGCTCTCCCAGGAACTTGTGCTGAACTGCCAGCCCCCAAAGCATAAATTACATTCAGTGTTGACAGGTCAATGCCCCCTTCTTTCTTCTAACCCTCAAGGCTGGATTCAAAAGTGCTTGGAAGCCATGATGCACAGTCGGTTCCCTTCCCAACAGCCTGCCATGCTCATCCATGTCGTGGAAGTGGCAACAATGTGGGTTGTATAACTGTCCTCTTGGGACCAGGCCTGTTGGATTCCATCTCGCAGCTAAGGGACATGGATCTCGTGCAACACAATTGCCAGTACATTCAAGAACTTGTTCAGATTCAGAAGGGCAAGAAAGCCCGAGGTGTCTAAGAGGTGATGTGGCCTGGCTGGGCTTGTGCCCTTGCCCGCATGTCCAGTTCTAATGGTACAAACCAGTGGCCAGAGGAATGAGATCAGGCTGGATTTGACCAGAGGTCAATGGGATGGAGCCAGCTATTGTAGCGGCTGCTCCAGCCCAGGTCTGTCCACACTGGGGAGGGAGGATTAATTGCATTACCCTGATCACGGATTGGAAATAAAGCCTGAGACCACATCACTCATCACAACCACACTGATGCCCCTGCCACAAAAGTGGAGACGAGGCCTGTAAACACTTGCACCAGGAGAGCTGCCAAACTAGAAACAGAAGAAAGAGTGGGAAGGATTTTATCCTTCTCGAAATGAAGCAATAAACTAGGACAAAAGTCAGAAAGGGGAGATAATACTGGGACGAGTGAAGAAAGGAGCTTTTTACAAATGTTCCTTCATTTCTTTCTTTCTTTTAAAAAAAGGACTCTGCTTTTAACAGCCAGGCTCTGTGATGCTTTGGAAGAACTCCTTCTCTGGCTGCTCAGTACATATAGCTTCAGGAGGAGGTTCAGCATCCATAAAAAGTGGCCTTGTTGAATTCCTCAGAGATGCCCAGCGTTGTCCTCACCATGGTTGAGCCCCCACCCCCTCTTGGCCCGCAACCAGCTGCCTCAACCATTTGCAGCCTCCCCTCAACGTTCTGTAAGAGTGAAAAAGATTTCTAGGAGAAGGAGGCACCCTGGGGCCTTCCAAGGAGCGTAAGACATAACAGCTATTTCAGTGCAACAATCAGGCACCAGACCTGAGGAAAATTAGCAGAAAGAATGTGTTTCAGTGCGGCTTGAAGAAGGAGTGTGCTTGGTGTTTACGAGTGATAGCAGGGTGATCCTGAGTCTAAGACTAAAGGGGTCTGGCAAGGCAATAGGTGGAGACTGCTGCTAATTGGTGTCTTGGCCTAATTCATTTGGTCCCACTCCTCTGACCTGGACAGGTCGGGTATGGGCGGCCATCGCAATTGCCTCACGACATTTCAAATTAAAATGCTTCACAAAACAGGCATTAGGAGCTGTGTCTGCTAAATAAAGATACGTTCTCTCTCTTGGATAAAGAAAAATGCCCCCAAAGAGTCAGTAGGTGGTTTTACTGCCCGGGTAAGTTAGGATGCTGTTGTGGTTGTGTGTGTGTTTTTTATATATTAAGCCACTCCTAACTTTTCTCTCACACTCTTGCTCAATTCTTTGAGAGGCGGGAAAGGTCTGCGTTCTAGAAGAGAAAACCCAATTGGTTGAAAGGGCAAGGGAAACCGAATAACGGAAACAGGATTCTCCATGAAATATGTTTTCCACATGCCCATCCACACTGTATTTGAGCAAGCATCTTCACTCCTGTTTTTGTATACACTCCTGCCTAGAAAGGAAGGAGGCTGGCCTACAGCTCCTTTAGTGTGACACAGCTCAAGTGCATTCACTAAGCCCGGTACCCTGACATGAGGAGGAGGAGGGGGGTTCACTTAAGCCAACTAAGTGACACAAAGATTCCCTTCCCTCAGTGCTATTGTTGTGACAAACTCTCTTGGACCCTTCAACGCTCCACCCCCGTATTGTCATATTTTGGGGGTCCATGGAAGTAGTGCAGTTCAGTCACCAACCGCTCCAGTAATGCTGATTTACATTCCGCCTTCAATACTCCTTACAAACCCAGAAAGAAAAGGGGAGCCGACCCCACGTAAACACTTGTCCCTCTCATTTCCCAAAGTCTTAATTGGGAAGACAACAACATCAGCCCAGGTCCTAATTCTTCTCTCCAAATACTGGGACGCATTGCTCCCGGTTCTCTGTAGGCTTCCCTGATGACCTGTTTGAAGAGACAGCTGTTGCTCAGGACATCAGCAGAGCAGCTCAAGGCCTGGCAGTAGAGAGACCTGTGAGACAATGAGGTGGTCTTGGTGAGGGCAGCTTATGCCAAGCAGAGCCACTGAAGCTGGGCTCTGGATGGGAACCACCATCTCCTGTGCATGACAGAAGTCATGATCCGTGCTCCTTTGATCTAGAGTGGGATCTCCTTAAGGAGAGGAGGCATTAGTCACTGCACCCATGTTGGCACCATTGGGATGGGGAAGAGGCTCCCCCTGGCATACTACACCAGGGCAGTTCGGGCCTCGGTCCTTCCCATGCTGGCACTGCTGCTTTTCCGGCGCAGGCCTGGGGTGGCAATAGTGCTGTAGCCTTCATTTGGGCAACCATGTTGCATTAAGATGTCAATGCATTCTTGGCTTCCTGCTCGGCGAGCGTAGAACAGCGCGGTGTGCCCCACAGCATCGTGGGCCTTAACGTCAGCACCGTACTGTGGGGGAGAGAGAAAAAAAGAGTGATTAGTGTTAGGAACTCCAAAATACAAATCTGTCTTCTGCTGTTGTGTAGGCATGACTGGCTTACATCTGGAAGCTGGAAATCTAGAGCTTCAGTAAGGAGTGGAGTATGCTTGTAGCCACTGCCTCTCTCAAAGGGAGTTAATTCTCTTCCTCAGCCCCTGTTATTTTTGATACTTTTTTCTATATTTCCCCCAAATTACATACTATTGAGTAGGAAGAAGGCAATGGCAAACCATTTCTGAAAACGTTGCAAAGAAAATTTCGTGGACTTCTCCATGTTAGTCACCATGGATTAAGACCAGCTCAAAGGCAGAAAAATTAAACAAAACCAAGCCACACAGACCAATCACTTAATTTTTTCCCCCCACCTTGTTCCAGTTCTCTCAAGCTCCATCGGTACCAGGCTTCCAATGGTATCAAAGACAGGGTGAAACATCTCTCCCAAATTTCCAACCAATCCTATGGCAGTTCCTGACTGGGGACAAGCAATGTTTTTTTTTTCTGTACCTCCAGAAGGAGCTTAATGACTTTCTACTGGAAGAACAGCATGTGTTGGTTGTTGTGATGCAACTAGACCAGGGGTAGGCGACCTCGGCTCTTTTATGACTCATAGCTGCCTCAGGAATTCTGGGAGTTGAAGTCCATGAGTCATAAAAGAGCAGAGGTTGCCTATCCCTGAACTAGACTGTAAGCTAGAAAAGACCTCTGCAGGTACTGAATTTTGGAAAAGTACATCATTGTTCAGTTTTAAGTAGTCCAAGAAACATAAATCTTCTATTCAGTAGAAGTAATTTTGACCTGAGATAGTTATCATTATAGTTTCACAGGATACTGAGAATAGGAGACAGCTGCTTTGACTACAGATTCTGTTCGGTTTCCTGGGCAATAGTGTTTTCCTACATGAGAGATGAGAGCTTTTGCATGCAAAGCATGTAATCCACAATTACGTTTTGCTTCAAACCAGCTGCATAGCTTATGAGGCTCACACAGATTATAAGGGGTTTGTTTGCATCTGCCCAGAGGACACCGTAGATGTTGTAAATGGATCCAACTCAAAAGTACAAAGAACTATTTTCAAGTTACTACCAACCTCCCATGTCTGCATGGACCAAGAATGTTTGAAATCCCAGAAGGAATATATCATTTAACGCATATATACTGAAAAGTATGTATGTATATATTCTGAAAATGCATTTCATTCTCAGAAATTAATGTTCTAGCAGTCAGCTCTAAGCCATCTGTCTACTGTATATGCTAACTTTCCCCTTTGATAGCGCATCTTCTATATTCTTTTAGAAAGGTGGTTGGTGCAGTGCTTAGAATGCAGTACTGCAGGCTACATCTGCTGATTGTCGGCTGCCAGCAGTTTGGGAGTTTGATTCTCACCGGCTCAAGGTTGACTCAGCCTTCCATCCTTCCGAGGCTGGTAAAATGAGGACCCAGGTTGTTGGGGGCCATAGGCTGGCTCTGTAAACCGCTTAGAGAGGGCTGCAAAGCACTGTGAATCGGTATATAAGTCTAAGTGCTACTGCTAAGTGCTATCATTAAGATAATTCTTTCTATTGAAAAAATGTTGATTTTTTAAGATTGGGATGGTTTTAATAATTAATGGAGTGTTTTAACTTAGATGATTTTTATTTATTTATTTATTTATGAGACTTATATACCACTTTAAGTGCGAGCACTCTCTAATCGGTGTACACCAGTAAGCAATGTATATATATATATATTTACATTGCCCCCAACAATCTGGGTCCTCATTTTACCTACCCCGGAAGGATGGAAGGCTGAGTCAACCTTGAGCCGGTGAGATTTGAACCGCTGACCTGCTGAACACAGTCAGCTAACGTGGCCTGCAGTACTGCACTCTAACTGCTGCGCCACCTCGGCTCATTTTTTGTACAATAACATAGATGTAATAAGATATTTTTTGTACAATAACATAGATGTAATAAGGCAGTGGTTCTCAACCTTTTTAATGCCGTGACCCCCAACCGGTCGTAAGTCGAGGGCTACTCAACCGGTCATAAGTCGAGGACTACTCAACTGGTGCAGCACCGTTTGCAGAATGGGACTTTTGGCGGGCTCAGCAGGCAGAGACAGCCTGGACAATTCCTATTGGCTTTTGAAAGCCAATAGAATTAGACTCTATTCAAGAGAGTCTATTCTATTGGCTTTCAAAAGCCAATAGAATAAAAGGGAGTAGCACAGCTAAGGAAAAGGGGGAAAAAATGGCGGACTGCGTTGTTTGGCGACCCCCGTGAAATGGTCGTTCGACCCCAAATGGGGTCCCGACCCACAGGTTGAGAACCACTGTGATAAGGTATGACAATCAATTGGATGAAATTTGAAGTTTCTGTAATGAATTGAAGTGAATTAACATTATTTTTTAATTAAGATAGCTATTGTGTAATGGAAGAAGAAATAAATGAGATTGGTGATAAAAGGAGGGATGAGAGAGAAATTAAGAACTAGAATATATCTGGAAGGGATACCTGAATTGATAACTTGTTGAGTTGAAGTGAAATTTGATTTTGGTAATTGTAAACTGATAAAAGTTTTAAAACAGGTTTAGTAGTAATACAAATTTAATTTAGAAATGGAATATTTTAAACGTATTATGTTATTTGAGGGAAATAGAGAGGAGACAGTGTATGTATTGAGTTGAGCTGTTTATTTATCTTTTTACTTTGGAATGTTTGATTACCCAAACGCCACGGTGTGTCCTGAGTACTTTTTCTTAAAAATTAAAAAAACTAATAAAATATTTTCAAAAAAAAAAAGATAATTCTTTCTCTCCTTGGACTTAAAAGTGCCTCCACTGCCAAGCACTTACCCAGACCAAAAGCTGGGTGACAACCACGTGCGAAAGGTCACATGCCACATGCAGAGCTGTGCGCCGGTCCTTGTCCCCGGTAGGAGCATTGATCTGTTCCTTGGAACTGTGGGCGAGCAAGAGCAGCACAGCCCCCAGGTCTCGGTCTAAGACAGCCTGGAACAGTTGGCACCCAAGGGAGAGCTCAGAGTTTGGTAGAGGTGCCAGGAATAGTCGTTGCTCATATTTGGCTCGGATCCAAGATTCTCGCTCTTCCCTGAGAAAGGAAATCAAGACAGCCCGCTATGATATAAGAGTCTTTAAGCTCAGAGACAGCCTGCTATGAAAAACACACCAGGCTGAAAAGAAAAGAAGAAGAAGAAAAACCATGATGGGTTCTTATGCAGAGAGATGGTCAAAGGGATGGAAGAGCAAGATGAGCAGGAAGAAAAGGAGCAACATTCAGACATGCGTACACTGGTTGCTAATATCTCTATAGTGAAAAATTCAAAGCAGTTATACAGACAGCTTCTGATCGAAGAGCTAGCTAGGATGTTTCTCAGGTCCCTTCTTGGAAGGGGTATGAATGTCAACTGCTTCTCCCACCGCATGGCTTCTTCCTCTAGGCCAATGTTTCTCAACCGTGGCAACTTTTAAATGGGTGGACTTCAACTCCCAGAATTCTTTCAGCCAGGTTGAGAAACACTGCTCTAGGCAGAGAGAGAGAGGGGGAGGGAGGGAAAGAGGGAGAGGGAGAGAGAGAGAGGGAGGGAGAGAGGGAGGGAGGGAGGGAAAGAGGGAGAGGGAGAGAGAGAGAGAGGGATAGAAGGAGAGGGGGAGAGAAGGAGAGAGGGATAGGGAGGGAGGGAGGGAGGGAGGGAGGGAGAGGGAGAGAGGGAGGGAGAGGGAGGGAAAGAGGGAGAGGGGGAGAGAGGGAGAGGGAGGGAGGGAGGGGAGGGAGAGAGAGAACAATTACTCTCACGTGTAGAGTTTATAGAATTAAAGATATATTTAGAATTAACCACTTTTGAGTCCTGTTTAACTCCAATAGATTTCCGCCCCTCCTCCAGTTAGCAATGCTGCATTGTGCCCAGCTTCAGCTGCATCATGCATTTTCACAGTAAATTAACTTCTCTCTGTGTCGATCCAAGTATGTGTGCCACAATGCTTACTCCCAAATAAGTAGACACGCTATGCCTGCCCAGGTCTCCAAGGCTTTACTTTCACTACATTATGTGATTATCTGCACTCACCGTGAAGACTCACAGGTGGGTTTCCGGCGCCCCTGTGTGCATTTCTCCCAGACGCTGTTGGCCGTTTCATTCCCGATAGAGGTGAGCACCAAGGTGAGCTCCAGGGGCCAGTCATCCAGGTCAAGAGAGCGCACACGAGACAGATGGGTGCCCAGATTCCGGTGGATGCCAGAGCATTCAATGCAGATCAGCGCCCCCAAGTTCAGACTGGCCCAGGTTGGGTCTGCAGCAAGGAAATTGGATGAGTTGGGAGTGTGGGATGAGGGAGAAGGAACTTCCTTCCCTCTTTAAAGCAAAGATCTGTTATTCCAAACCCTTCTGATGTGCTAAATCCCATGCAACACGAGTTAGGATGGGAGATTGTAACTAGCCAAGTGGGATTCCCAGTGTGGTGTGGTGTGGTGTGGTGTGTGTGTATCTATCTATCTATCTATCTATCTATCTATCTATCTATCTATCTATCTATCTATCTATCTATCTATCTATCTATCTATCTATCTATCTATCTACCTACCTACCTACCTACCTACCTACCTACCTACCTACCTACCTACCTATATATGTAGGTCTTTGGTTATTCGGGGTTTTTCCCGCATCAAATTGGAAGTGTCTTGACAATGTTTCGACAAAGTCTCATTCGTCATCTTCAGGCTGGTGTTTTCAGCTTTGTGCTTCTAGGAGCAATATGTGATCGTAGCTGTTTCTTCCTTTTAACTGCCAGTGGGGATATGAACTGATTGGATGGGGGGTTGGCTGTGCTCTGATTGGTTGGGGGAGTGTTCTGTTTGGGTGGGGGCTTTGTTGTGCTCAGGTTAATCTGAGTTGCAGGGGGATGTGAGATGGTGAGCATTGCTATTGTTTGGCTTCACGTTCGTGGTCGTGCCTCATCTTCATGGTGGGTGTGAGTTTGCTTCATGTATGGATTGGAGGGGTTTAAAGTGGCTAATGATGCAGCTGTGGTCTGGCTTCTGGTTTGTGGTCGTGCCTCATCATCGGTGTGGGTTTGGGTTTGCTTTTTGCGTGGACGTGTGGTGGTGACATCCTGTGTGGCTTTCGTGAGTGTGGGTCTAGTGTCATTCTTTGTGTTAGGGACTCGTTTGTCAATAAGGGCAGGTTTCCAAATGGCTGGTAGGCGGGAGGTATCATCTCGTTTATTCATCTCATTTATTTATTCACCAAGACACTGCCAATTTGACGTAGGAGAAAACCCGAATAACCAAAGACGTTTCGATGAGGTCCCACTCGTCATCTTCAGGCTGGGGGCTTCGTGCTTGTGTGAGCAAAGTGTGATCGGAGCTGCCGTCTCTCTCTATATATATTGGTGGGGCTGTGTGGATGCTGGCTTAGTTGCTGTAGGTGGATTGGTTGGCTGTGTTGGAGTTATTGTTTATGAATTGTTTGGCTGTTTCGTAACATCCTGAGTAGTTGAGGTGCTGGCTGTGTGCCCATTAGTCTTTTGTGTTGTAACGACTTGGGTAATGGGTTGTGTGATGATATCCTGAGATCTAGTGTAGTGATATCCTGAGTTATGTGTTGCACCATCCTGGGTGGTTGGCTGTGTTGTAACATCCTGAGCTTTAGCGTTGTATCCTCCTGAGTTCTGTGATGTGATGTCCAGGGCTGAAGGCTGTGAAGTAACATACCAGGCTTTGGTTTGGCTCCGAGTTTGCGGTCTAGCTCTGTGTTCATGGCGTGTGTCCGTTTGCTTTGTGTGGGGGTCAGAGGAAGGTGCAGCAGATGGTGATGTAATCGTGGTTTGGCTTCTGGATGGTGGTTGCATTTCGTCTGAGGGATGGGTTTGGCCTTGGGTTTGGGTCTGGTGAGGGTGAATGGTGGTGGCGTACTGTGTTGTTCTGGGTCCGGTGTCAGTTTTTGTGGCTAGGACTCGTTTGTTGATTAGAGCTAGTTTCCAGATGTCTGGTAGGCGGGAGGTATTGTCACGTTTATTCATGTTGTGGTGGTGTTTTTCTATTTCGATGGCTTCCATAATTATTTTCTTGTTGTGGTGTTCAGTTTTGGAGATTAGTGTGGTTCCTTCAAAATCAATTTCATGTCCTGTAGCTTTAAGGTGCTGGAAGAGGGAGGAAGTTTTTTCTTCTTTTCTGACTGTGTTCTTGTGTTATGTGATGCGTGCATTTATTCTCCTATTAGTTTGTCCAATGTATGTGGCTGGGCAGATTTTGCATGGTATTTCATAGACTCCTTGGTTTTCTAGCTGGATCGTGTCTTTGGGGTTTCTTAAGATGTTGGCTATTTTTTGGTCGGTGCCGAAGGCTGTCTTGATATTGTGTTTGTGGAGAATTTTGCTGATTTTATCTGTGGTCTTTGATGTAGGGGAGGATGGCGATGTCATTGTACTGTTCTATGTCTCGGTTCTTGGGGGGTGTTTACCTTTGGATTAGGTTGGTAATAGTATTTCTTTGGAATCTGATGTTTGTGAGAGTGTGTAATTCAGTTTTCAGGTGGTCTTTGTCGGCTAGGCATTTGGTTGTGGATATGAGGGTCTTGGCAGGATGGTGATGCAATTGTGCGTTTAAATAGCAGTTGGTGTGTGTTTTTTTCCGGTAGATGGTGTGTCCTAGGGAGCAACTAAGCCAGTACTCCACACACCCCCACCAATATATATAGAGAGACGGCAGCTCTGATCACACTTTGCTCACAGAAGCACGAAGCCGAAGACCCCAGCCTGAAGATGACAAGTGGGACCTCGTCGAAACGTCGCCAAGATACTCTCAATCTTAACAGGAAAAGACCCAAATACACCAAGACCTGTATATATATATATATATATATATATATATATATATATATATATATATATATATATATAGTTAAAAAGGTTAAAAATATGAACCCTGGGAGTATACATAGTAAAGAAATAAAATGAACACCAGGGTAATAAAAACTGTAAAAGTTTTTAATTAATTAAAACTATAAAAGTTTAATTAAAAGCGCCAAGCTTTCACCGTCACCTGCCGGCATCTTCAGGGCTAGCGCGCCAGAGAATGAGGAAGTCCTTTATAGGCGTGTCAAGGTTTGCGCCCGGCTCCTTGACCTTTCTCAAGGAGAAAGAAAAAGGAAAAACAGGTTAACCGTACGCAATTGAATCAATCAGGCTCGATAACAAGGTCAAGGAGCCGGGCGCAAACCTTGACACGCCTATAAAGGACTTCCTCATTCTCTGGCGCGCTAGCCCTGAAGATGCCGGCAGGTGACGGCGAAAGCTTGGCGCTTTTAATTAAACTTTTATAGTTTTAATTAATTAAAAACTTTTACAGTTTTTATTACCCTGGTGTTCATTTTATTTCTTTACTATATATACATATATATATATATATATATATATATATATATATATATATATATATATATATATATATATATATATATATATATGTTTTCTGAGGTTTTCGCGGGTATTTGTATGTAGGTCTTTGGTTGTTCGGGTTTTCTCCCGCGTAGTGTCTCCCGCCAAGACACTTCCAATTTTACGCGGGAGAAAATCCGAACAACCAAAGACCTACATATATATATATATATATAATACAGATCCCACCACCTACCTGGAAAAAACCACCAGATCCAAAATAAAAGCCTCCCCCATTAGCGAAGAGATCCAGCAAAGAATCATTCCCAGAGAGAAATCATCCAGATGCCCCAAACTCTATGGTCTCCCCAAGATACACAAAGAAGGAACCCCACTCAGACCTATAGTCAGCTCCATAGGCTCACCTATACAAAACCTAGCCAAATTTCTCGCCAAACAACTACAGCCCTATGCAGAATCCATCACCTCACACGTAAAAAACTCATTCCAGTTTATAGAGATCATAAAGAAACAAAACTTACAGCCCAGCGACCTACTCGTGAGCTTCGATGTCATATCCCTCTTCACCCAAGTGCCTATCAAAGAAGCCTTGACAGCTATCCAAAACAAATATAACCCCCCCAAACACATCTTAGATCTGACCAACCACTGCCTATCCAACACATACTTCATCTATAATGGACAAAAATACAAACAAACAGAAGGAGCACCCATGGGATCACCCCTCTCACCTGTCATTGCCAACCTCTACATGGAACACTTTGAAACCCAAGCTCTAGAAAAATCGGATCACAAACCCAAACTCTGGCTCAGATACGTAGACGACACCTTCATAATCTGGCCACATGGGAAGGAAAAACTGGACAACTTCCTCACACACCTCAACAGCCTACACCCCAAAATACAGTTCACCATGGAAACAGAAGCTAACAACCAACTTCCCTTCCTGGATGTCTTAGTCTACAAGAAATCCAATGGCTCCCTAGGACACACCATCTACCAGAAGAAAACACACACAAACCGCTATCTGCACGCTCTCTCACACCACCACCCAGCACAGATCAACTCTGTAGCCAAGACACTCATCTCCAGAACAAAACGCTTAGCTGACGAACAACACCTAAAACCGAACTACACACTCTCACCAATGTACTAACATCCAATGGATTCCAAAGAAATAAGATTACAAACCTAATCCAAAAAGAAACCCCCACTAAAATCCAAGACAAAGAACAAGAAAACGGCAAAGCCCTCCTCCCATACATAAAAGGCACCACAGACAGAATCAGTAAGATCCTCCATAAACACAACATCAAAACAGCATTCTGCACAAACAGAAAAATATCCACCATCCTTAGAAACCCCAAAGATAAAATTGAATTAGAAAATCAAGGAGTATACGAAATCCCATGCACCACTTGTCCCACCACATACATCGGACAAACCAACAGAAGAATAAGTGCACGCATTGAAGAACATAAGAACTCAGTCAAAAAAGAGGAACCAACATCTTCCCTGGTCCAACACCTTAAAGCCACAGGACATGAAATTGACTTTAAAAATACCAGAACCATTGCCAAAAGTGAACATTTTAATAACAGAATAATCAGAGAAGCCATCGAGATAGAAAAACGCCCACACAGCATGAACAAGCGAGATGATACCTCCCGCCTACCAGCCATTTGGAAACCCGCCCTTATTGACAAACGACTCCCTAACACAAAAAATGATACCAGACCCACACTCACAAAAACCACACAGGATGTCACCACCACACATCCACGCAAAAAACAAACCCAAAGCCACACCGATGACGAGGCACGACCACAAACCAGAAGCCAGACCACAGCTGCATCATTAGCCACTTTAAACCCCTCCAATCCATACATGAAGCAAACTGACACCCCCCATGAAGAGGAGGCACGACCACAAACGCGAAGCCAAAAAATAGCAAGGCAGCCCAAAATCTTAAACTCCTCTGCAACTCAGACTAACCTGAGCACAACCAAACAGAACACTCCCCCAGCCAATCAGAGCACAGCCAAGCCCCTAACCATTCAGAACACACCTCCACCCAATCAGAACACAGCCAAGCTCCCACCCAATCAGTTCATACCCCCACTGGCAGTTAAAAGGAAGAAACAGCTAAGACCACACATTGCTGCTCAAAGCACGAAGCTGAAAACACCAGCCTGAAGATGACGAATGGGACTTCGTCTAAACGTCACCAAGACACTTCCAATTTTACGCGGGAGAAAACCCGAACAACCAAAGACCTATATATATACTCTCCAACCTTTTAAAGAGGCCCAGTCTTGAAACAGCTCCCTTTTCCTATGAAGAATCAATCTGTTCCCTTAAAAAGGAGTGCCAGCTGGGAAGCAAAGGAGCCAGATGTTGCACAAGAGAAAGGTCACTGAAATCTCCTCTGCTGAAGTTGGTGTGCCAAACCTGTCTGCTGGGGAAGGGCAGACCAAAGGACAGAAACATCTGTGCCATGCTGTGCTGTGTCTAGCTAAAGAAATGGCTTATTTCTTTAGCTCGACATTATCATTTGATGTAATAATTGTCAGACTGAAGCTTCAAAAGATACTTAAAAAAAAAAAAAAAAACGCCTGTCCCTGAAAGCTTAAAAGAGCAGGTGGAAATAAATCTATATTCCTATTTCTCTGGTGTGTCTTGCCTTTGTCTTCTTCCTTGATCTTTTCTTAACATTTAAATATTATATTATATATCTTCCTAGTATAACACCTAGAAGATAAGATGAAGTGCAACCAAAAATATAACATTGCTAATAAAAATATACAAAATAGTAATTAACTGAGTGACATTTGAAAAAACTAGAGATATACATAAAAATATAGCTATTTTTTTAATGCACGGTATTACTAAAGTTATCCATATAGACCATCTATTATTCATGTTCTCAGCTTAGAGAGAGAGAGAGAGAGAGAGAGAGAGAATATATATATATAGGACAGAGAAGGATGCTATGTTTCTGGAAAGCCATTCATTAGTTTGTGTCTCTTGGGATTAAAAAGGTCCATCATCCCCAGATTTAGTGAATGCTGGTTTGAAAGCACAGAGAACACTTCAAATCCTATTGCTTCATAAAGCTATTCAGACAGCCACCAATTTTGCTCAGCCCATCATCTTAATAAGAGAAAGATATGCATGCCATCCAAATCCTTCGGAACAAGAGATTAAAAATGCTTTTAACTGAGTCCAAAATATACTTTTTATGAAGACCGGAAGCAACAATATTAGAAGCTGAATTAGAGTTAGTAATTAATGTCCCATTGAGGTTTGTACAGGAAATGCACCATCCCTATTGAGTTTATTTTTGGAAACAGGAAATCATTTCCTATACAACTCCAGCCAACATGCTCTAAAATAAGCCTGTCCACTTCCGTTCTCCAGCTTTGTTGGACTACAGCTTCCAATGTCTCCAGCCATTTATGCCACTTGCTGTGTGGGATGGAAATTCAAGAGCATGCCTGGTTGAAAAAGTCTGAACCGCCACATACTTACTTAATGCCCCACAATCCACACACAAAGAATTTCCTTTGGCATTTCGGATAGCCTGGATTGCCACTGCTTCACTCTGGCTGTCCATCCGGGCCTGTTGGGGAGATAGAAGACGGAGAGAGATGCTGAAATGTCCATTGTTTCAAGGGTTACTTCACAGATTGCCCTAATTCTAACTGAGGCCTTGCAAGACAGGGTGAGCTATTTCTTGAAACCTGTCTTCCAAACCTGTATGAAATTTTTGGATCATGCGCCATTTCCATTCTCAGATGCAACAGGATATTCTCTGAGGATACTCTCCTTTCCCTACACTTTTTAATGTTTGATATGAAACAAATTAATGTTGTAAGCTGCCCAGAGTCATTTTGAAATGAGGTGGGCAGCAAATATAAGTGAAACAAACAGACAAATAAGTTAAAATTGAATCACAAAAGAGGGCTTTCTTTTCAGCAGGGCCTACTCTGTGAGAATATTCACAAAAGAAAACCCCATTTTTCTTCTCCAATAAATCAATCAGTTTTCTTCCAATTTTTGTGTGTGTGATTGACTTCTATTTTTCTTGCTTTTAAAAAGTTTATGTGAATTACAGTGAACTTCAATACAACCATTGATTAACCTAAAGTGACCAACTTTTTTACAATGAAAAGAAGGACACAAATAAATTGAAGAAAAAATATTGTAAATAAAAGAAATATTTTATTCGTTGCAACAATAATACAGACAACTTGCATGTGCAAAGTTGCCAGCCGGGTGTTTTGGCGCACTCAGCAGCAATTCCTATTGGCTTTCGAATAGCACAGCTCATACAAAAGTTGAAAAAAAAAACCCATCAAAAAAAGTTGCCGGAACGCCGTTCTGAGCGTTCTGTGAGAAAAAAAAAGCCCTGCAGATTAGTCTTCAAATATCGAAAAGGAGGACATGTAGGAGGACACTTTTCGAGGGAGGACAGAACTTACAAAAGGAGGACTGTCCTCCCTAAAGGAGGACGGCTGGTCAACTTAATTAACCATTAACCATTTGCAAATAATGCTCAAACTCTTCTTACCAAGATGACAGAATTATGACTAGGCTAAATCACTTTGAGTGATAGAATTCAGGAAGGAAGGAAGGAAGGAAGGAAGGAAGGAAGGAAGGAAGGAAGGAAGGAAGGAAGGAAGGAAGGAAGGAAGGAAGGAAGGAAGGGTTTCAATAGCGTTACAGGGCCTTGCCATTTAGAAGCACTTTTACATTATGGTTTCCATACTTTCATCTTCAACTGACTAAGGTTTTCTTACACTTGTGAGAGCTGCATTCACTACTAAATCTATGAGATGCTCCCCACTACATATGTATTGCTTAAAGCACCCTTTGTTAAGACAACCTTCACAGCAAGCTGAAGTGATCCTAAATGCTGACAAGAGAAGAATCAGCCAAGAACCTGCAACCCAGTAAACCAAACTGTTTATATGCACTGACCATATCTCAGAGACAGTAGAACTGGCAAGCCAAATTAGCAGGGATAAATAAGAAGGTCACCCAGATGAATTTATCAAAAACATTCCAACCCCAGGTTGTAATTTACACCGTATCTGCCCTTTTCTTTTCCTTGCCTTTGCAATACGGGTAAGCCATGGGTACCTAGGCTTTGGTTCTGCCTTTGCTTAGGACTGCCCAACCATTGCCAGTCTACATTGTTTTATTGTTTGTATGCTAATGAAATAATGCTATATCTTCAGTTGGTTCACTTGATTGCTTTAGGTGAGCCAGCTTTTGATTATAACAATGGATTAGAGCCTGGCAAAAGGAGGACACATCTTCTTTGTTATCCTCCATCCAGCAGGCATAGCCTTAAAATTAAATATTGTCTGGTTTTTTTGTGTCTTCTTCCAAATGTCATTGAAACTGTTGTGTATTGTGACTGTGTAAATTGTCTGAGTTTTTTTTTATTTTCTATCCCTCCTGCTTAGACAGACTCACAGCCTAGATTTATATTATTTATTTCCTGATTCCAGCACCTATCTTCAATCTAGTCGCTTCAAATATACTATCATCGTAAGCTGTAAATCCCTTGACCTGTTTTATACATTTCTATAGGGAAATTTGGAAAATGTGTTGTGTTGTTGATTCTGTATTATTGCTGTTCTTGAAGATAAAGATTTATTGGAAAAATACAGGTAGTCTTCCACTTAGAACCATTTGTTTAGTGATCGTTCCAAGTTGAAACAATGGCACTGAAAAAAAGTGATTTATGACTGGTTTTCACACTTATGACTGTTGCGGAATCCCCTCGGTCATGTGATCAAAATTCAGGCCCTTGGCAACCGGCATCTATTTATGTCAGTTGCCCTATGCTGGGATCATGTGATCACCATTTGTAACCTTCCCAGCCGGTTTCTGACAAGCAAAGTCGATGGGGGAAGCCAGGTTTGATTAACAACCACACGATTCAATTTCACAATTGCAGCGATTCGCTTAACAAAAAGGTCCTCAAATGGGGCAAAAACCCACGTAACAATTTGCTTTGCGTAGCGACGGAAATCTGGGGCTCAATTGTGGTCATAAGTCGAGGACTACCTGTACTGCAGTTGAAAACCAGGTCTTTCTGGTGCTGAAAAAAAAAAGATAATTTCCTACAGGCCCTAAGAACGCTTTTGGGGGCAGTTGTAATGTGCTGTAATTTTCGTTGCAGATGCCAAGAAAGTTAAACCTTTAGTAGGTTCTCCTTTAATTCCCCCCCCCCCACTAATATGTCCTCCTTTCCAATTGTTCAGGCCCTTCTTTGGCTCCTCAGATACTCTGGTAGTCCTAACATAGATAGTGCATTTATAATAATAGTAAAGTTGGAAATGACCTTGGAGGTCATCTAGTCCAACCCCCTGCTCAGGCAGGAAACCCTATACCATTTCGGACAAATGGCTGTGCAGTCTCTTCTTAAAAATGTTCCAGTGTTGGAGCATTCACCACTTCTGGAGGCAGGTTGTTCCACTGGTTAATTGTTCTAACTCTCAGGAAGTTTCTCCTTAGTTCTAGGTTGCTTCTCTCCTTGATTAGTTTCCACCCGTTGCTTCTCGTCCTGCCTTCAGGCGCCTTGGAAAATAGGTTGACCCTCCCCCCTCTTCTTTGTGGCAGCCCCTGAGATCTTGGAACACTGCTATCATGTCCCCCCTCGTCCTTCTCTTCATTCAACTAGACATACCCAATTCCAGCAGCCTTTCCTTATATGCTTTAGCCTCCAGTTCCCTAATCATCTTTGTTGCTCTTCTCTGTATTCTTTCTAGAGTCTCAACATCTTTTTTACATCGTGACTATTTACAAATGGCCTAAATCATAACAGCTTTATAGGCGATCGATACTTAAAGGCAGGCTTCAGTAGGGAAAGGGGACAGCAGGAGGCCGGAGGGCCCATACCTTGTTCTTGCTACTTTCACAGCACTGCAAGCTGGCCAAGATCTGGCTCTCGATGGCTTGGACCCAGGAATCTCTCTCCTCGAAGCTGTTGGCCTCAAAGTGCCAGGTCTGTCCTGTGCTGGAGACGATGATGAACTCAAAATTCTCTTCCTCTGCGGGTGTAAAAGAGCTGCGCTCAGGCACAATGAAATGATACCCCTTTCTCTGAAGTTCCAATTGCCTTACAGTCACAAACTGGTGTTGGGGCAAAAGGCGGGGGTTGGAGAAGGGCATTTAGAAATTAAATGATTTTTTTTAAAAAAAAAAAGCTTATTTTTCCAGCACAGACGCTTGGGAAAAGTTGGAAGGAGATGATCTATTAGTAGCAGGGACACAATTATTTATAGTTTACCCAGGGCCAACATTTTAAATTCATAAATGGCAAAAAGCTGAAAGAGTTCTACATGGATGCTGTCCTTTCTGGGAGGGGGGAGGGAAAATCCCATTTATTCTACCAGCACTTCATCAACTCACAAGTTAATCATAGAGCACCTTTAATTTGCAGAGCACTAGGGAACCCTCCTATGTGTTTGCTCGCTACAGTAGTGCAGGCTTCAGTTGCTCAACCCTGAACTAGAGAGCGGGGTTAGTGTGTGGAAACACAACACACTCTGTGTGGTTCTATAGGATAAAGGAGGCTTCAACTCCTCTTTTTCCAGTCTCACTCTTTGTTTTGAACTTGGATGGAATACAGGGCCACTTGAGATCCAGCCAGAATGGCAAGTTCAGGAGGCAGGAAATGGGAAGCCGATGACAATCAATGACGGTCAGGCTAGCAATTCCTCACCAGTGAGGGCTCTGACAGGAACCAGGGCTGTGGCGAGGAGCAGAATTTTCTGCAAGCAAGCCCAGGCCACGGGTGAGGTAGGGTGAGAGAGTGTGCTGATTGCATAAAAAAGAAATTTTTGCAAGATCAGCTTCCCTTCTCTTCATTTTGCAGGAGAACTAGGGCAGAGAAGTGGGAATTAATGGGTTAGAATGGTGAAGGATCACAATCCATCTGAGATAAAAGTGCTCAGGCATTCCTGGGACTGGGAAGTCAAAGCGCTTTTATGTCGGGTGGCTCACATGATATTTTACTCCCACCATTGTCTTTGGTTTGTAAAACTTCAAAATCAAAGACCACTGTGGGGCAAAAATGCAAAGTATTCCTAATGCCAGTGTGGAATATTGAAGTAGCAGGAGATCCAAGATTCAAATCTTCACTCAGTGGTCCATGGCCATTTCGCATGGGAAGAATAATTAAGATAATGGGAATGGAGAGTCTGGGGAAAGGGTCATATCTGCATCAGCTTAAAGCAGAGATTCCCCAGCCTTTTGGGCACCAGGGACCAGTTCCACAGAGAAAGGTTTTTCCACGGACTGGAGAGTGCGTGGTTTTGTGTGCTGCCTGCATCCCATGGATGGGGCTTTCCTTGCTTGTGCAGACCGGTTGCTGGCACGCCACGGACTGATACCGGTCCACGGTCCGTGGGTTGGGGACCCCCGGCTTAAAGGACCAAGGGATCTCTGCCTGTTCCCACTCCTCAAAAGGTCACACGACCCTAACCATCAACAGAATAGTCTGTAAAATGGCTCAGTTTTTGCTTACCTTGGGACTGCTACAAATTTACTATCTACTTGAGGGAGAAAACACTCCTGCAGAACAGCTAGGGGTTTTTTAAGCCCATCTCGTTCATGGGATGGAAACAAGACGAAGACAGAATTGTGAGGACATGGCAGTCTAAAGAACTCATAATCATATTGTCAATAAACACAAATGGGGAAAAGCTCTTTAGGACTCTGGACTGTTCTTTCTGTTCTTATTTGTCTTTCAAGGAGCCTGCTTGTGCACTGCAAAAAGCTGTGGGACCCTGTATTCTACAGCAAACAGTGTGAAATGCAAGCTTCTTGGGCCTGACTGTTATAAGCACACCTAGAGAAAGTACGCTGAGCTAGAACACAACCTTCTTCTATTGCAGGGGTAGTCAACCATGGCTCTTTTATGACTCGTGGACTTCAATTCCCAGAATTCCTGAGCCAGCTGGCTCAGGAATTCTGGGAATTGAAGTCCACGAGTCATAAAAGAGCCATGGTTGACTACCTCTGTTCTATTGTTTTGGCTGCATAGAGCAGGAGACACTCCTAGTGCTGGAAAAGGTGCCTTCTAGGAAATCTACTGATTTTTATGGCCCTGTTTTTTTGCACTTTGGGGGCTCGTCTGATTATTTAACTAAATATTCCTCCCAAAGGAGTTCTGACTGAGTTTAAGAATCAGTTCAAAAACTCCCATTCTGAAAGAATTCCGGGAACTTAATTATTTGGGTGGAAAATAGAGGTTTGGGGGGGGGGGGATGGGAAATTTGTACACAGCCTTGCTGGCCTGGGAATGGTTTAACCTGGAAGCAAGAAGGGATATCTCTTGAGCATCGGGGAACAGACATCAAAGCAGGGCGCACATCACAAAAGTAAGCACAACTGCATGCAATGGGTGCCGTGGCACAAAAAAAAAAAAAAAAAGAGCCCACACCTGCCACCGCCGCTCATTACCTGTTTTATAAATATTTCTTAAACTACCAAAGGTTTTTAATTTCCACATTTTACGCTTGGCTGCAGTGGGTCCGGAGGGGAAGCAGGAAGCGAGAGGCAGAGAAAGAGAAGGGAGGAAAAGAAGAAAGGGGAGAGAGTTCAGAGGAGGAAAAGGAAAATAATTTAAAAAAAAAAAAAAGCAGAGGCTATCAGAACTCCCAGACCCCTGGATTCGGGCACCCGGTGGGGGCGGTGGTGGATGCGTGAAGCGCTGCAAGGGACAGTGAGGGAGAAAGCTGTGAAGGGCATGGCCCCGTGTGGTGCAGACTCAGAGCGGAAGTGAGAGGTTTGGCAACAGCTGCTTAGTGCAGGCAGAGCTAAGAGAAAAGGGTGGGAGTGGGCAGCTCCTCTGACCAGGGCCCAACCCCTCCTCAACAGGAGAAGACCGTCCCTTTCCTTTCCAGGGGTGGCAACAGGCAGCATGGTCTCCCCACAGCCTTGACCTGTAGGCTCCTCACCGAATTCCCCTCACCAAATCCCAGTCAGGCTTGTTAAAAACAACCGTCTCTCCCTTTGCATAAACTCTGGGAGGCATTCTTTGAGTTAAATAATAATAATAAAGTTGGAAGGGACCTTGGAGGTCATCAAGTCCAACCCCCTGCTCAGGCAGGAACCCTACACCATTTCGGACAAATGGCTGTCCAGTCTCTTCTTAAAAACTTCCAGTGTTTTGAGCCTCTGGCACCCCAATCATCTTGGCTATGCTTCAGTTCAGACAACCGTGATCACTGCTCAAGCATTCATCCCTTCCTGCAACTGAGAGACGCGATCCCTGGCATAGGCATTTAAAAAAAAAAAAAAAAAAAAAGCAAACAGACCTCTCAGGATCCCCAGCTGGCAGGGCCATTGGTCATCTCTCCGGAATGCTCTGATGGCTATAGACCTCCCCCCCGACCCCCCCAGAGAACACCAAGTTGTGGAAGATCCCTCTAGAGATGCCCCTCAAGTTTTTTTTCCTGTCTATTTCCTTGGAAACCATGTCGTTCTAACATGCCCAGTTTGAACCCAAACTGTGGTTCAAAACGGACTTATTTCATCTGTGGTTCAAACTGTGGTTCAAAACGGACTTATTTTAAGAATCGCAACTGACAGCAGAGGCCTCTTACCCTCCGCCTGCCCTGCTGATCCCTCAGTCTTGGACGGTGTGCTGAGCTTCTTCCGCCTGTGTTTCTTCCTGTCAATCATAGGAGATGGAGGCGGATCTTTGCCACTGCTGCCAGGACTGGAGAGTCCTTCTGCAGCCATGGATACTTCTGCAGGAACAGGCGGGAGAAATAGATGACGGGCCTGCTGGCTCATCTCTCTCACTGGATCAGAGAGGATAGCCTTTCCTAGCACCCTCTCTGCTCCTGGGGGTGGCTGGGTTTCTTGTTGTGGTCTGAACTTACCAGCTTTGGAAGAAGATACCGAGCGCTGCAAGCGCTCCGGTTTGCCTAAGAGCTTGACTGCTGGGTCAACTGGGGGATTCAGCAGTCCCGGACTAGGGCTAGCTGTGGAGAAGAAGGAACAAGAACGTGAACTTGCTAGAATCTTTACAGAATGTGGCTGGTTTGGTCTTGTCATAATATTTTACACCTCTGATAAGTTTGATCTTAAGTCCCCCTTTGACTGGAGGAGGCCTTTTAAGAGGGAGAAGTTGAGAATGCAACCAGATGTTTCCCGCACGAATGCCCTACGCACAAATGTAAAATAAGGCTTGTAATTCTAATTTCTTCGACCGGAGTTAAAGGATGAGGAGGATACTAGGCACCTGGAGGCAGTTAATCAAAGAGTGCTTTTATGGCGAACTTCAGAGGAATCTCATCCTACCACGACTGAGCCTGAAGCCATCTTCCAATTTCCCAGTGACTATAGTAAGACATCTGCCGTTGGCTACCGGCCGGGGGAAGCGTTCAGTGGAATGAAACTAATAGTAATAGTAAAGTTGGAAGGGACCTTGGAGGTCATCTAGTCCAACCCCCTGCTCAGGCAGGAAACCCTACACCATTTCGGACAAATGGCTGTCCAGTCTCTTCTTAAAAACTTCCAGTGTTGGAGCATTTATTGCTTCTGGAGGCAGGCTGTTCCACTGATTAATTGTTCTCACTGTCAGGAAGTTTCTCCTTAGTTCTAGGTTGCTTCTCTCCTGGATTAGTTTCCACCCGTTGCTTCTTGTCCTGCCTTCAGGTGCTTTGGAAAATAGCTTAATTCCCTCTTCTTTATGGCAGCCCCTGAGATATTGGAATACTGCTATCATGTCCCCCCTTGTCCTTCTCTTCGTTAAACTAGACATACCCAATTCTAGCAACCGTTCCTTATATGGATTAATTAGTTCCTTTAAGAACAGTCTGAACCAGGGGTAGTCAACCTTGGCTCTTTTATGACTCATGGACTTCAACTCCCAGAATTCCTCCCAGGAATTCTGGGAATTGAAGTCCACGAGTCATAAAAGAGCCAAGGTTGACTACCCCTGGTCTGAACAAGTGTATGTAGCTGCCATCTTGATATGGTTGTGATAAACCAGCGTTATCTCCTGTCACAGCACCCCTCAATCCATTTTCCATCCATCTTTTAAGAATTATTTTTAATTTTTTCAGGCTTATAAGACATTCTCACTGATTCTAAGCAGCATCTTTGTAAAACTCAGATGATAAACAAATACTCATCATTTTATCAATAACAATAACAATAATAGAGCAAATCAATAGGAAAAAGAGAAAAAAAATATTTAAATACCCGCAATCAATAAAGCAAAAATTAAAATACTCTTCCTCATCAGAGGGAACAGGAATAACATTCCAGTCTCATGGAACAGCCAGGTTTTAATAGACTTTCTAAAAGCCAGGAAGGGAGGGACCATTATCTCTGAGCAAAGCAGCCTGGACTGAGCCCACTGCTCAGTCTTATCCATGGCCAGTTTTACCACCCATGAATAAGACAGCAAAAACCGGTGGCGATTTGAGATGACTCTTCATTTTCCCAAACAACGTTCCAGCCTCTATTGAATGGGAAGGCCTCCTGTAGATGTCACTATTGGATTATTATACTGTGCACAGTTTCTGCACTGGAGCTAGGGGTAACACATGGCTTTCCAGCTTTATGAATTCAATTCGCTTACGTTAATAAATGTTGTAGTTGAAACAGGAAGCATTAGGAATTTTATGGCAAATTTGATTTTGGTTTGACGTTCAGCTAATGGTCCAGATTGAACATTAATCAGAATAACTGCTATTTGATTATAATTTTTTCCATATAGTAGGAGAAATCTGCAATAATGGCCAAAGGCCAGGAAAGCCGATGGTTTTTGGATCATTCATTTGCCAAATTTGTGTGAAAGAGGAAACAGTCAAAATAGCTGTCTTTAGAGATGCCATTCCGTATCATATTTTCAGCAGGAAACATTTAAAGAAAAGTGTGATGACACTTTGACAATCACAAAAGGGTGATGACTTGACAATCTTCCCAAATGCATACTACTAGCACATTGTAGTGCAAAAGGAGGAGAGGAGGAGAAAGAGTGTGGGGATTCTCCCTCCTTACTCTTCCACAGAAAACTGTAAATGAAGGCATCACCACGAATCACAGTGTGAATTAGCAAATGGTAATTATATACACACCTAGGCTGGCAAATAGCTTGTAGTATTCCTCCCTTGGCTGTTTTACCAGGCTCTTAGTTCTCACTGTCACAGTAAGAGTGCCCTGCCACTCAGCTTGGCAGCCCTTTTCACGTTAGTGCTGCCAGCCAGCACCAGGGTCCTCTCTCCCTATGTCTATTTTGTCTAAGATAGCACAGCCCACTTACTACTGCTGTCCCCAACTCCGACGCTGCTCATGTCTTTCACCAGGCCATTGATACTTGAGGAGGCACCACAGGCAGAGATGGCTCTGGGTGGGCGTTTGCCAGGGACTTTTACGGTGGTACGAAGGAGATCCATTTCTTTCCCGTGGGTTCCATGGATATAATCCTGGGGAGGCAGGAAGAACAGGTGGGGAGACTTAGGAAGTTGGAGACCACCCAAGCATGGCCTTTGAAATGGTCTTACTTCGGAATTCTTAGCCAGCCTGATTCCACGGTTCAACTGAAAAGGTGTCTAGAACCTGTATTCCTTTTTGGGTCATGTCAGATGCTATTCACACCTAGTGTTTAGGGCAATTTATCGTGCACAAAAAATCACAAGCCCTAGGACAGTGGTTCTCAACCTTTTTAATGCCGCGACCCCCAACCGGTCGTAAGTCAAGGACTACTCAACTGGTGCAGCACCGTTTGCAGAATGGGACTTTTGGCGGGCTCAGCAGGGCAGAGACAGCCTGGACAATTCCTATTGGCTTTTGAAAGCCAATAGAATTAGACTCTATTCAATAGAGTCTATTCTATTGGCTTTCAAAAGCCAATAGAATAAAAGGGAGTAGCACAGCTAAGGAAAAGGGGGGGGGGAAATGGTGGACTGCGTTGTTTGGCGACCCCCGTGAAATGGTCATTCAACCCCAAATGGGGTCCCGACCCACAGGTTGAGAACCACTGCCCTAGAACAACCCTTTCTTATCTTTGCGCATTTGGATGTATTTGATTACAACTTCCACCATTCCCAGCTATCCTGGAGTTTGACATCAGATGAAGAAAGGCGGAAGAAAGTGGATCTGGGGAGAGGAGTTAAATCCAGGCGACAATTTGAGCATTTCACAAATGAAAGATTTTTTTCACTCTATCCCTCAATCCGTTTTGATCTAAGAGATCCATGAAAGGAAGCACACAGTAATATATTTGAGGTTACTTTCCTCTAAAAGAGCTCTTGCCTTGAATAAACCTATCCCCAAATTCCCATGGAATACAAGGAGAATCCATGTCGTGGAATACAACACCGATCCTTTATGATGAATATAGTGTGATTATAATAAGGAAAAATAGGCTGGCCAGAGATTATGGGAACTGAAGGCCAACACTTCTCAAAGGCGCTACACTGAGAACAGGCTGTATTACAAGGTTTTAGTAGCTCTCTTCCTGGCAGAAAAAGCAATGGGCACGGATGATACATGCTTCCTGTAGCTGAAATCAGCCAGTTCATTTTGAGGGTCGTGTTTTTCTCCCAAAGGCTCCTATCAAAATCCTACCAATTTGCTTATTCTGTGAATCAGATCAGAACATCTAGGGACACATGACACATGACACACTCTGTTCTACTGACAAGGAACTTACATTAATGCTGGGATGGTAGAAGAGAAGACCGTTACTGGACAGAGTGACATACTTTTTCTTCCACTCCTTGTTCAGAGAATTGCCACTTCGTTTCAGCAAGAAGCTCTACCAGGAGACACAAGGGTCATTAGCCAAACCACAGTTTCAGTTGTTTGGTTTACCCTAAAATCAAAGCTGCTTACACAGTACGAGAAAACACTAAAGATTGAAACCAAAGCCCAAACAGTGTAAATTAAAAACAGGTAAGGAAGGAATGAAAGCCGCAACAATATTTGAAAAGCTGAAGCAAAGTTAGAAAAAGATGTTTTAGAAAACAGCTTTGACTGGGAGGACAGGAGGGAAGACACAAGTGTAGGCAAGAAAAATAAAATAAAAATCCCCCAAAGCTTGGAAAAATGAAGCAATCTTTGGATAGTATTTCAGACTTAATGAAGATTGCTCTGTGCTTGCCTTTGCTATTGGCAAAACATTAAGAGGACTGACAAACAGTGCTCAAGCCAAACTGGAAGGTTTACCTGTTTGATGGGTATAGCTCTCCCACTGCCTGTGTTGTCACCTCGGCTATCCAGGCTCCGCTTCTCTGTGTCACTCCCTCTGCGATTCTACAAGGACACAATTCAAATATCTTGGCTGACTTTATGAATTGCACTGAACGATGGCTTTATTTAACCATGATTTACTGGACAAGCCATAGCTGCACAAATCAATAGAGGGCCCAATATGCTGCGTTGGTGCCCTTTATCGGGAGACATTTCTATAAAAAAGAATTCAAACTGAAGCCCTTTAAAAATGGGGTACACATTGCAATACAATATATATATATTTCTGAACTTTGGCTTACATTGGCTCTAGCTAAAGAAGGGCACCAGCTTGGATTTTCCCCAGCTTAAAACAGCATCATCTTAACTCAGAAATTTTATCAGCCTGGGCGCATGTGATTCTCTAGATCAGTGTTTCTCAACCTTGACAATTTTAAGGCATGTGGACTTCAACTCCCAGAATTCCACAGCCAGCATTGCTGGCTGTGGAATTCTGGGAGTTGAAGTCCACATGCCTTAAAATTGTCAAGGTTGAGAAACACTGATGTTGGATCTGGAACACGTCTCACTTCCTCTCCCTGTGAGCTGTACCTGAAAGTGAAAAGGATGATGGGAATCGAAAATGGTGCATATGTTGCCTACTTCTGAAATCTCAATGTGTAAGTTCCGATTGAACTGTGTTTTTCTTTTCACTGGGCTTCAGCAAGACTTAATTCTAGGTGTGCATGTAATGGCTGTAGCCTTAGGATACCTTTTAGAGTGCAAACCTATGAATTGTTTTTACGGAAACTTCCTTTGATAAACATTCCCCCTCCCTCCATGCTTTGGGGATAATATTTACTTGTCTACCACTGACTTATGTGAATTGCTGAAAATATACCCAACGCTTTTCAATAGCCGTGCATTGCCAAGAGAAATTGATGATAATGAGCAAGTTGCCGTATCATTAAAAAAGATATTTTTGAATCTTCAGCATCCTTTCTTTCTTTCTTTCTTTCTTTCTTTCTTTCTTTCTTTCTTTCTTTCTTTCTTTCTTTCTTTCTTTCCTTTCTTTCCTTTCTTTCTTTCTTTCTTTCTTTCTTTCTTTCTTTCTTTCTTTCTTTCTTTCTTTCTTTCTTTCTTTCGACCTCCTAAGAAGAATTGAAGAAATGCCACATGTCCCAGGAACCACTTTTTAAAAAATGGATAGTGTTTTGATTAAATAATAAGCATCACAGATGCTGATACAGGAATCTGACCTCTAAAAGGCGCCAAGCTAGGAATGGGCCAAGAGGCATTAAAGAAAGAAGCTTCAAGAATTTTGGATACCAGGAATGATGGAGACAACTTCACGCCATACTTGATTACTTAATTAATCATTTTTCTAGGTTGTGTACTACACATTGAACAATGACGTAGCCGAACAGGCTGGGCTTGTACAAATACTCTACGGCCCCACACAAACCTTACCCAGATGAAAACTGGTCAAGCTTAGCACTTTTGTAAACTGGCCTTGCTGTGAAAACTCAGCTGCTGAGCTTGTCTCTCATTAGATTGTCTTTGAAAAGAGGGTTGGGAGAACCACAGAATCCAGAAAAGAGCTATCAGGACTGGAAGCTGCCTTCTACAAGGAACGCGGGCGGAGATAAATTCATCCCAAAGCCCTGCCTAAATGACTAGGAGAGGAAAGCGGCTCTGCTTCACCCTGGATGAATCAATGAACAGCTGAAATCTGGCCAAACTCTCTTACAATGACTGTGTCTCGTTTGACCTGGTTAAAGGTCATCCGGCCCTTGGCTTTCTCTCCTTAGTCTTCCATTCTGAGGAACTTCTGGGAGAAACTCACAGTGAACAGGCTGGTCCGGCGTTTGGTCCCTCGCTGCAGGGAGCTGGGTGTGCCAATTATAGCTGAAGCCTCACTGCGCAGCTCCCGGTGACTGATATTGGGTGTGGAAGGAAGGGATGAAGAGTAGTCGCTTGTATGGCCCCCGTTACTTGCCTAGAAAAGAATCCAGAAAGACTTATGCCTAAGGGAAGGAGGAGAGCACCAGTATGAGAGTGACCGTCTTGGTTTCCAGGTGTTCAGACATAATTCTCCTTTGTTCTAAACACGCGTGAGCGTTTGCTCAGCTAATCATCAAGTGTAACCTAGTGCAATACAGATAGTCCTCGACGTACGACCACCGAGCCCCAAAATTTCTGTCGTTAAGCGAGACATATGTTTTGCCCCATTTTACAACCTTTCTCGGCACAGTTGTAAAGTGAATCACCGCAGTTGATAAAAAGTTAGTAACCCGGTTGTTAAGTGAATCGGGCCTCCCCATTGTCTCTGCTTGTCAGAAGGTTGCAAAAGGGGATCACATGACCTGGGGACACAGCAATGGTCATAAGTATGAACCCGTTGCCAAGCGCCTGAATTTTGGTCACGTGACCGTGGGAGAGGCTACAAAGGTCGTAGCTGTGAAAAATGGTCACAGGTCACTTTTTTCAGTGCCGCTGTAACTTTGAACGACCCACTAAATGAACTGTTGTAAGTCAAGGACTACCTGTACAGTCTAGGAAGTATTTTCACATTTCATTTGTCGTTTGCCAAATCTCAGTCGGTATGATCATGGGCTATCAAGATGCCTCCAAAAGACAGAGCTGCTTCCCAAAATATTTTCAGCCGTTCTGTCTGCTGTCTGAGCTCAAGAATATTTGCGTTAAACACATGTAGCCAAACACTTCCTGCTATGATCATTATTATTATTATTATTCCTTCATGCCCTCAAACTAATGCCCTCTTGTCTGAGATGGTATAGGTTCATCTGCCTGAGCAGGGGGCTGGACTAGAAGACCTCCAAAGTCTATTCTATTCTATTCTATTCTATTCTATTCTATTCTATTCTATTCTATTCTATTCTATTCTATTCTATTCTATTCTATTCTATTCCATTCCATTCCATTCCAATATTTTGAAAGTGTTCCTGCCTATTGCTGTGAGGCCCATGGAACTCAGCAATAGGCTCTCCTTGCCCCATGGGGAAAAAAGCAGACCATGGCATCTGAATTGCCACTGAACCAAAGGAAAATATTTAAGAGGCAGGGATTGTCACATTAACTTTGCATAGAAACTGCTAGTTTGGGCTCTTCTTTACTATTATATTGTATTTTAAGATGTGCTGCCTTCTTGAGTGTTTGACAATTAGGCAGCCTTATAATAATATTGGATTGGAAAGCTATGGCTGTTTTAACAACACACTCATAGCAGTTTGGCTGTCTTTGACCTTGCACAGGGTCAGGGTTAGGGAAAACGGAAGGCATTTAAGGCATAATTTTTCTTCTTTGGTCTTTCATCTATTGGCATCTTTGGCTGTACAAGTCTCTCTGGGAGCTTTTCTTTTTGTTGGGTTCTTCCAATGATGACATAAAGCTAGAGATGCAATCCACCCCTTAAAAAAACAAAAACCAGCAAGCCAAAAACAAAACTGGAAAGGTTAAGGGGAAAATACTCTTCCAGTTTTTGATCTTCCTTTCATTCATACCTCTTGGAGGGGGGAGCCAGCATTTTTTTCTCCCACTTCTATTTTCCTTCAGCCTTTCACATCTCTACATAGTGTGCAGATTTACCCTAGAACAAACCTTGATCAAACACTACAACCTTGTTAACCCTGTTACTCTTCCCATCTGCCACGCAGACAATCTAAAGAAGTATTTCCATGGGAAGGCACATGAACTGCAAGAGGTCAGTTTTGGGTTTTGCTTTTGTTTGTTTTATATTTTTTTTACATTAATCCCAAAATTGATTTTTGATTTTTTGTCTTTATTTTTTTTTTAAAAAAAAAAATACCATTCAGCATTTCTAGTTCAAACTTTACCTAACTGGTATTATGGCAGCTAAGTTTAAGGATACTTCTCACACCTGAGTAACTATATCACATGATCCAAATCCTTTGCAGCCCACGTGCAGTCTGTCTGTTGCAAAGCCACAATGCTTCACTCCAATTTGTTTCATTATTTTGCTGGCGCAACTGGCTGGCACTGCAATTGCACTACAGCAGTGGTTCTCAACCTGTGGGTCGGGACCCCATTTGGGGTCGAACGACCATTTCACAGGGGTCGCCAAACAACGCAGTCCGCCATTTTTCCCCCTTTTCCTTAGCTGTGCTATTCCCTTTTATTCTATTGGCTTTTGAAAGCCAATAGAATAGACTCTCTTGAATAGAGTCTAATTCTATTGGCTTTCAAAAGCCAATAGGAATTGTCCAGGCTGTCTCTGCCCTGCTGAGCCCGCCAAAAGTCCCATTCTGCAAACGGTGCTGCACCAGTTGAGTAGTCCTCGACTTACGACCGGTTGAGTAGTCCTCGACTTACGACCGGTTGGGGGTCGCGGCATTAAAAAGGTTGAGAACCACTGCACTACAGGCACGCACTGCTCCAATCAGCTGGTCCTTTGGACCCCCTTTTCACTTTTTGCACTGGCCCTACATGAAAGTGATTTAAATCTCTGAAAAGAGAACCCTGTGTCTTTTACACCAAGCCCGCTTCTTCCTTCTAAGATGCTGAGGACCTGGAACATTTATACCCTTCTGAAGCAACATGATTCCTGAAAGGAAGAAAAAGGCACAGCCTGTGTTTGTACAAAGTAGATTTCACCCACCGGTGTAGAAACTGCTGAATGGCTGGGTGTGCTGGGCAAAGATTTGCAGGAGGCGAGGAGTTGCTGCTGTTTCTTCATGTTCACAATCTTCTGGGCAACTGGAACGGGGAGAGAGAAAGAGAGAGAGAGAGAGAGAGAGAGAGAGAGAGAGAGAGAGAGAGAGAGAGAGAGAGATATGTTGGAAAGTCAAATGGTGGCTCTTCAACTGCCCCATCCAAGAGTAATAGAGAGATCTGTCATAAGAGAATAGGGATTCTGTCCAAACTATAATTGTTTCACCCTTAAGAACCTGAACACATTGTTGGTACTCAACCCACTCACTCTGTGAACCCAATCCAGCAATTATCACTTCAATGTGTTGTGATCTTGTACTAGAGGGAAGTATGTGAGAACATAGTCATATGCGTGGGACGGATCATATGTGTCCTTCTGTGAAAAGTCCCTGATGGGAAGATAATGATCAGGTTAAAATAAAACACAGTGCCTCACTCACATAGACACATTCTGAAGATGTTCTTCCCTGCAATCATGGCTTATACCATAAATAGGCAAGTCTCACATCCTTTACAATATCAAGCTGATTGTTCTTGCGCTTTATAAACATTCTGAAACCAAAAACACTTGGGAAACAGCAGGGCTGCCATTGCAGGAATGAAACCCTAGGCAGGCCGGTAACTTATCTACAGTGTCTTATCTCGGCAACTGTCAGTCCGAAGCCCCCACCTGTACAGCATTAGCAGCTTGTCTCAATATTTTATGACAGGAGCATTTCCTCTGCAAGTGATAGTTCTCAGGGGGCTGCTAGAGTGCAAATTCAGCACAAGAGTAAGAAGAGAATGAGCAGCTCTAGGTCAGGTTCACAATCTCCCAGTCTAGTTATATCATCTGTATTGAACTTTTCCCAGGCTTAGAATGTAAGAAGCAACTCCTTGGAAATAACAAAACAAGCATACTTTTTTGGGGGGAGGAGGGAGGAGTGACATCCCAAACCCATCATACAAACTTGAACTAATGGATGGCAGAAATTTAAACACCAATAGAAAAACCTAAAGAGGCAGAACATGTGCAAGTACTATTGGGGGTGTGGGCCGTGTTAATATGATTTATCACTTCTGCAGCAGACAATAGGAACCCATCACATCAAGAGTAAAATATCAAAGATACATTATACTTTCCATGCTACTTGCAGAGTTTATATGCTGGGAAGAAAGTTTGTTCACATGCCCTTGTTTTTATTGCCATGAAATACAACCTGGCTCCCTCTCTTCTAGGAATAGCAATAGCACTTAGACTTATATACCGCTTCACAGTGCTTTACAGCCTTCTCTAAACGGTTTACAGAGTCAGCCTCTTGCCCCAAACAATCTGGGTCCTCATTTTACCCACCTTGAAAGGATGGAAGGCTGAGTCAACCTTGAGCCGGTGAGACTCAAACTGCCGAATTGCTGGCAGTCAGCCATTTTAGCCTGCAGTACTGCATCCTAACCACTGCTACCTACTCAAAATACGTTCTAGGAAGATATTCACCTTCACTGAAGACCCGATCAACATTCAGCCCGTAAGTGGCACAGGTCTCATAGTAGAGGCAACGGCGCATTTCTGTACACAGAGCCCGGGCTCGGGAGTCTTCAATCACCCGTGGATTGCTGGCACTGATTTTGTCTGAGTGGGAAAAAAAAATAAAAATAATCTCCCCTCTGTGTTTCAAGTGGAAAGAAATGCAGGGTGATCAACGGAGGTTTCTTCAAGTGACCTTGCGATAAAAAAATTATTTCTCTGGTTTATTAACACCCGGGCCACGTTGACTTCGTTCAGACAAAAACTACATTCTTGCATTATTCTCATTCTGTAAGCTTTTAAAATACGTGTAGCTGAGGGTGCTCTTAAAACCAGCAAAAGGACAGCATACATTTTGCTTTACGTGAATGAGATGCATATTTTGCCTGCTGGCCCATCCCTGCTATGAGTTTTCAAAGTATTCCGCTGGGCTATTGTTCTCCTGCTCTCTGCTTCCCTCTTGGTTCCTGAACTCAGTGTGCCTCCTTACTCCGGTCCAGCTCTTGTCAGCAGCACTTTGGCACAGGTGGACGTGTGACCTAGAAATAATAAACCTGTTTGGACTTAATTTTGCTTCTATGCAGTCTGCCTTGAAGGATCATACTGGCTTCTTTGGAAGGGATCCAAGTTAAAGCCTTTACAAGGCATTACCAAGCCCACTTCAGTGTCTGGGAAATAGTAGGGCACTGGGTCACTGCTAAGTAGCTGCAGATGTCCTGAATGCTAAATGGAATTCCTGGATCAAAGTGAGGTCTCTAATCCCACTACAGAACACTCAGGAATCCACATGCAGAATTCTATTATTGCACTAATATTCAGGAAATGGAGGTAGATCGCTCCTTTTTATGAGTGGATTGTAGAGCAATCACCTAATAGAACCTCATAAACTGCACAGGGATTTCCAGTGATCAAACATGAGTAAAGACCTTTGCGGTACAGAGCTATCCATAATTAGCACAAGGGGGAAACCACCATATATATATATATATGAAAATATTTGAGAGCACAGAATTTCCTTTATATGGCACAGATTTCAAAGTGTTTTTAAATAGAACTGTAAATTGATTAATTAAGAAAATGATATTTAAATAATGCTGGAGAGCAGCTTCATCATTCTGGGGCACCCTGGCAGAAGACTATCTGTGCCTCTCCAGGAAAGAGTGAACGGTGCCAGTTGTGAACAAGCAATACAAACAGAGCACTGCAGAGTGCTTCACTCTAATGATTCATTCAATGGAGCTCAGCTACACATTCAGTCCATTATGTGATTCGTTTTCCAGGCTAGTAGTACCTAATCTCTTGCCCTATCTTTTTACTAAATCATTTATATAAATACTTTGCATTAATTCCATGTAGCCTCTTGGATCCACTTTCACTGCTCTTCACACAGAATCAGAACTTCACAGTTCTTCCACAAAGGTAGGTGCTGAATGGATGGGGGGGGGGGAATCATCCACTCTTTTTGTAACCCAAACAGTCAATGAAGAGCCAAAGGACGGACAATTGACTTAGTAATGAATAAAGCGGAAAACCAAGGCCACAGAATCTCTCGACCTGGAGATTTGACTTGTTTTATTGAAACAACTCCCAGCTGGCCTTAGGCCCCTGCTCTGTTTCCTTTACCTCAACATCTTCTGCAGCCCTCAGAGTCCACTTCCTGAAGAGATGCACCTTCTCCCCACTCACCCTGAGTGCCCACCAGGGCAAGAGCCATGTCGGAAACGGCACGGTAGTTGGTGAGAAGCCCGTAGAACTGAGTCAGCTCTTGGAAACTGGCCTCATTCTCCAGACTGAAGACAAAGATGACGGCATCGGCCCAATTGGCGAACTGCAAGGGGGAAGAAAAACAAATGGGAAAGATCAGTACCAGGCAGTTCCATTTAAGCTGTCTTTATTCCTCACTCAGAATAGGCCTGGGAATGAGACAATGATGCTGGCTCCAAACTCTCCCCAACCAGAGAGATTATTCAAAACAAAGATTTGAGTACTTTACATCGAGCCAAGCATTTATTCATTTTAATTCTGCCTTTATTATTTTTTTACAAATAACTCAAGGCAGCATATCTCCTCCTCCTCTCTCTCTTTATTTTCCCCTCAACAGTAACCCTGTGAGATGAGTTGGACTGGGAGAGAATGACTGGCCCAAAATCTCCCAGCCACCTCGCATCCTTAAAACGGGATTAGAAGTCACCGTCTCTTATTTTATAGTCTAGCACTTTAAACCACCAGGACCAAATCGGTTATCTCTTTTGTTTCTGAAACTTTTATTTCCTGATTCCCACAATTAGTGCTGCAGGGAGTTCAATGACACTGATTTTATATACCGACATGCTTGTTTATCCGTAAGCTGGAAGGGAGATATCCAATTTTAAATTAAAAGGGAGTGCACGGCTTTTCCTGATTTCCTGATTTTCATTTGTTACTTTGGATTGTTAGGATTTTTTTTTTTGGAGATTTTATTAGTAGTGTTTTACTTAATAGATCAACGTATTTGTTTATTAATTGTTTTTAATATGTTACAGTTTAAGCTTTGTTAAAAATGGTTGAATATGATATTTACTCATTATTATGATCTGGACGGTTGCTTGTTTGTTGAAATATGGGATTGTACCTATCCTTATTTTGCCCTAATTCCTTATTTCCTTCCCCTCCCCCTTTCCTTTTACCCCTCCCTTTACCATACCTGTATTGTTCCTATTTTTCCTCACCTCCCTTTAGTGCACGGTGTATTGAGGTCCTGAGACCTTTCCTCTCCTTTCCTCCTTATTTGCAGTTGGAGTGCCGGTATCCTAGCCTTGAGACCTTTCTTCTCCTTTCCTCCTTATTTGCAGTTGCCCAAGACACTTTGATCCTAGCCTGACTGATTAATAAGAGTTGGGGTGATAAATGAGCTCCCCTCATTCACACCCTCCTTTGGAAAGAAAACCAGACACACTTCTACCATCTTTTCTTTTTACATGAATGAGCCAGACAACTGAACGGCAGACATGGCTGGCCCCATCAAGTCTGGTTGGGTCCAGAGAATTTCTCTTGCAACGAGAAGAGCTTGGTTTTCAATGCAAGCTAAACGTGGGGTAGCCTTTTGATAGAACTGCCAGGATTTCAAGTGGGCTGTAATTTCCAGATTCTTCCATCTATGAATCATTTTTCCCAGACCATAGTAGTAAGCAAGCTGAGAAAAAGAACAGCTGCTTGAAACACACAGGCAGACAGTTCCTGGGCTGAAACTCTGATCGGTAGGGTGGAGGGGTGAATGTGCACGTCCTCCTGTGCCAGACACTTCAGCCCATGGCCCCCAACACCTCCAGATTATCCCACCGAAATGCTTTGGCAAAGATAAGCGATGATGTAGATCGGAATTTTCCAAAGTGCATGTGTCACAGAACCTAGGATTCTGCAAGAGATTCATGGGCTTCCATAATAGAGTAAGGGCTTTTCAGTCACTACATCTATGCCTCATGATTAATCGCTCTAGGGTTTTTTTTTGGGGGGGGGGTGGAGGGAATAGTTTCTGTAACCTGAAGAAGTTTGAAAAATCCTGATACGGACAGGTCACATGTGAAGATCTGATACGGACAGGTCACATGTGAAGATCTGGAGGCTAAAACATATAAGGAACGGTTGCTAGAATTGGGTATGTCTAGTTTAACGAAGAGAAGGACAAGGGGGGACATGACAGCAGTATTCCAATATCTCAGGGGCTGCCATAAAGGAGAGGGAATCAAGCTATTTTCCAAAGCACCTGAAGGCAGGACAAGAAGCACTGGGTGGAAACTAATCAAGGAGAGAAGCAACCTAGAACTACGGAGAAATTTCCTGACAGTGAGAACAATTAACCAGTGGAACAACCTGCCTCCAGAAGCGGTAAATGCTCCAACACTGGAAGTTTTTAAGAAGAGACTGGACAGCCATTTGTCTGAAATGGTATAGGATTTCCTGCCTGAGCAGGGGGTTGGACGTGATGACCTCCAAGGTCCCTTCCAACTTTACTACTACTACTACTACTACTATTATTATTATTATTATTATTCCACAATTTTCCCACTTTTTGAAGGGGGGAAAAATTCAAATGGGTCTGCATATGTCTAGAGGTCTCCATGCGTGCAGAGTGGAGATATCTCAAAAGAAATTAATTTAGAGCAACAGTAAGCAAACTCCAGATGTTTCAGATTCCAATGTCTATCGACCTTAGCCAGTATGGTTAATGGCAAACTATTGAGAGTCCAAAATATCTGGAAGGTACCCAGAACTTTACTTCTGGTTAAGGCACACCACGAGGCATACAGAATGCTATCCTCTTAAGACCTTGTTATATCCCAGCACCGATTGCCTAAGGTTGCCTCTTCATTCTCTGAGAATAGGGCTGGTCCTAAATAGAAAGTGGGGGCAATCATTTCACTGACAGGAGACAACAAACATTTCAAGTCCAGGTTCCATCACCAGGAGACTTAATGATTTTGTGAGATTTGGGCCATTGTAATTGTTTCGAATTAATTCTAATCTAATAATTGTAGGAGGTTGTGGTTTCATTCTAAGACTGGACAGATTCTTTAGTGCCCACAGCACTGCATTGTGACTCCCAGATTAGTAAGTACAGGTAGTTCTCAACTTACAATCAATATTATATTAAGCCTGAAATTTTTCTTGCTAAGCAAGACTATTGTTAGGTGAATTGAACCCATTGAACCCATTTGTTTGCCACAGTTGTTAAGTGAATCAAGCAAATCTGGCTTCCCCCATTGACTTTATTTTTCAGAAACTGGCTGGGAAGCTTACAAATGGTGATCACGTGACTCCAGGACAGTACAACTGTCATAAATATATGCCAGTTGCCCAATGGCCAAATTCTGATCACGGGACCACGGGGGATGCTGCAACGATCGTAAGTGTGGAAACCCATCATTAATCACCTTTTTTTGTGCCGTTATAACTTTGAACAGTCACTGAATGAATGGTTGTAAATCAAGAACTATCTGTATTTCGTTCAAATTTGCAATTGAAATGTTTATAAGCAGTACCGAAAATTTCTTTTATAAAAAAATATATAAAAATTTCTCACGGTATTAAAGAGGTTTCCCCCCCTCCCTGACAGTTAGAACAATTAATCAGTGGAACAACTTGCCTCCAGAAGTTGTGAATGCTCCAACACTGGACGTTTTTAAGAGACCGGAGAGCCATTTGTCTGAAATGGTATAGGGCAGGGGTAGGCAACCTTGGCTCCTTTATGACTCATGGAGTCAGCCATGCTGACTCAGGAATTCTGGGAGTTGAAGTCCACGAGTCATAAAAGAGCCAAGGTTGCCTACCCCTGGTGTAGGGTTTCCTGCCTGAGCAGGGGGTTGGACTAGATGACCACCAAGGTCCCTTCCAACTCTGTTATTCTATTCTATTTTCAATATAACTGCTGAAATGGGGGAGAACTTTTTAAAGGCGAGGTGAAGCAGCACACAGAAGACAGATATCAATCTATTTCTACAGCTGTGACCTTCCTGCATGCAACAGTTGTCCCTTCATTACAATTTAGATTGAAAAGGGTCTTCTTGCCCTAACACAAGGGTGATAGCTTGGGCACTGTGAGTTGCAGTTCGTGGGGAAGATTGTGTTAACTACTAGCCAGCTGAAGAAGCTCATTTGACTCAGATAGCTCATGGGATGACCCAGGGCTAAATATGCACCAGCATAGCTGTAAACTTCAAACTAAATCTGTTTCCCCTCTTCAGAATTACAATTCCCAGGTCCCCGGGTGAGGGGAAACATTGCTACAACAAAATAAGCTTGTTCCATAAATCAAGTCCTGCCATTTAAAGCAGGATCGACTACAACTGTTCACAAATTACTAAAGTGCTCTAGGACGGTCTCGGCCTACTACAAGCTTTAGGCCACTGAGAGAGTCGTACCTTAGCATCTGGTGGCCCAGCTTCCTCTCGAATCAACAACAGATGGCTCTGCCCATCCACCACCACCTCTTTCTTGAACTGGCCCCCTGAAAAATAGAAAGCGAAATATTTATGCATACACTGATTTATTAGATTTACGTTAAGGTTTTTATACTTTGAGAGCTGCTCAGGGCAAGATACATATAGCTCTGTCCTCAATTCCGCCCTCTCCCTTCCCTCGTCCCCAACCAGGAAGGGGTGGGCTGATATAAATTACCCCACATCACCCTCTGAGCACTTATGGCTGAGAGTGAAAAGGAAGTTGGCTGTCCCCCTCTTTTTCTTTCCAACCTAATGAAATATTTGGAAGAAACTATGCAGAGAGATTCAGGACTCTTAGGTGCCTGCCTGCCTGCTTGCTTGCCAGCAGAAATTCTCTTCCCAAAAGAACAGAATGGAACCAAAGCTGAACAAGGGGGCAAAGTCAGTAAAAGAAAGATTGAGTTTTAAAAATGGGCCAGAATCAGGCAAAAGGTGTGGAGGAAAAATAATAATAAAATCCCTAGGAGCATCTATCTCTAGGGAACCATTCCAGGCCCACCTCCCTCCTAGTCATGTGACCCAGAGTTCTGCCTCTATTAAGTGGATGGGAAAGAGTCCAGAAGTCCTGCAGGCTTTCTCTAACTTTTTACATTCCATATCTAAATACAATATATTATGTTTCTCCATTCACACACTCCCTCTGTTCCCCTTTGGGCTTCCCAGTGTCTGAGCTTTGTGAGGAAAAGAAAAATCCCAAGGGGCCGAATGAAGGCCGGGCCACAGAGAAGGACACTTGTTTGGGGAGAGATAACGGAGCTCACCTTCTGCAGGTTCAAGGCCCAAGTAGGAGCCAGTCAAGTAGCGGTGAACCAGGGCTGATTTGCCACTCTTGATGGTACCAAGAACACCCTGTGGAGGTTGAAGAACACAAGTCACTTCAGGATGAAACTCACCGCCCTTGGCTTTTTGGAGCTGTTAAGGCAGCATTTTTCTCAACTTCAATGCTCTTCATTGAGTCATTGGAGGACAACTGCCATCAAACTGCTAGCCAGCATGGGCAGGGCCTGTAGCTATGCTGGCTGGGAGTGCCAGGAGCTGCAGTCCAATTCCAATGGGTGATATGAGATCAAAGCAGGCTGCCTTAGGACCTGTTGTCCTCATCACCCGGGGGGCTTTACTCTTCACCCCCAAATTATAGTTCATCCCCAAGTCTGCAGTTCTCAAGAATGAGAAGTCCCGGACATGTGATAAAGGAAAAAAATACTGGAGTGGGATTCATACATTAATGCAGAAAATTCTAAAAGTGAATATAAAGATTAAAACAGAAACTTTCCTTCTGGGTCTAATGGAAAAAAGACTTGGGAAAAAAATTTGGAACTCTTGATTTTATACATGGTGACGACAGCAAGACTGCTATATGCACAAAAATGGAAGGATGTTTCGATTCCCACCATGGTCACAAAAGCTGATGAAATTAGCAGAGATGGCTAAATTGACTATTTTGATAAAAGAAAAGAAGGTAAGTACTTTTGTTTCTATTTGAAAATCACTTCTGACTTTGTGTTTGAGGTGGAAAAAAATGATACTATGATCTTCAGGTTTTACTGATTAGTCTGATTTGTTGATAATAGAAATGGCTAGTTCATACTACTATATAAATGTAAAAAGCTGAGATTTAATTTTAATGCCTTATTTTATTGCAACTGAGGGAGTGGGAAGTCAACGCCTTTTATTTCTTTCCCTCCCCTTCTCCACACTTCTCTTTGTCCCCTTTCCCTATTGTTTTCCCTTACTATTTGCTTTTCTATTTTCATGTTTTATATTATACATGAATAAAATTATAAAAGTGAAAAAAAACCAGTAAGAAGTTCCAATAGGCAAATCTTTTCATTCTGGTCAGTGTTATTGTTGTTTAGATTTTTTAAAATTCTGCCTTTATTATTTTTATAAATACCGTAACTCAAGGTGGCAAACATATCTCATATTCCTTCCTCTTCCTGTTTTCCCCACAACAGCCACCCTTTGAGGCAGCGGTTCTCAACCTTTGTGTGACGGCGACCCCCGTCACACGGACGCACCGCACATGCGCGGCAGTGACCCCATGCGCGGCGCGCATGCGCGGCGGCGACCCCTGAGGGGGGAAAATGGCAGATCGCGTTGTTTGGCGACCCCTGTAAAATGGTCGTTCGACCCCAAATGGGGTCGCGACCCATAGGTTGAGAACCGCTGCTTTGAGGTGAGGTAAGTTCAGAGAGAGTGACTGGCCCCAAATCAGCCAGCCAGCATTAATGTTAAGGCAGAATTAAAATTCACAGTTTTCTGGTTTCTATCCTGGTGCCTAAACCACTAGACCAGGGGTAGGCAAACTTGGCTCTTTTATGACTTGTGGACTTCAACTCCCAGAATTCCTGAGCCAGCAGGAATTCCTGGTTAAGGAATTCTGGGAGTTGAAGTCCACGAATCATAAAAGAGCCAAGGTTGCCTACCCCTGCGCTAGACCAACTGGCTGTTATTTATTATTGATATTCACAATATTTCTATTCCCATATGCACTGTAAAGCATATTTTAATAAGCTGTGGGATGAGAGGATATTTGCGGAAAACTGATGGTAGTCTAAGTTTCAGTCCTAACGTAAATCCAGGATTGAATCAATTTGTAATCAAATCTGGAAAGATCCTATTCTTCAATCCTTTTTCTTTTCAGCAATGATAAGAAGCAGCACAGGGGACAGAAAAGTCTAAAGAAGAAGCAATGCTTGCTACCCACTCATCTCCCACCCATTCCATCATTCTTTTCTAGGTCAAATCAGCTACAAAATACTATTATGTATCAATTACTTCAGACTTAATTACAGGTAGTCCTCAGCTTATGACTCCAACTGAGCCTAAAATTTCCATTGCTAACCAAGACAGTTATTAAGTGAGTTATTTTACTACCTTCCTTGTCACTGTTGTTAAGTAAATCACTGCAATCGTTAAGTTAGCAACACAGTTGTTAAGTGAATCTGGCTTTCCCATTAACTTTGCTTTGTCAGAAGCTCGTAAAAGTTGATCACATGACCCCAGGATACTGCAGCCATCGTAAATACATGCTAATTGCCAAGTATCCGAATTTTGATCATGTGACCATGGTGATGTTGCAACAGCCATGTGAAAAATAATCAAAGATCACTTTTTTCAGTGCTGCTAGATATAACTTTGAACAGACACAAAACGAATGGTGTAAGTCGAGGACAACCTGTATTAGCATCAGTGTTGGCTCAGCATTTATGTAACAGAGCAGAGGTCCTCAACCTGTGGTCCGCGGCCCACTACCAGGCCACGGAACAGGCTGGTCAGTGCACGCACTCACCCCCATTTGTGCTAGCGCCATTGCCGCAGTGAAAACAGGACACCATGTGACAAAAATGAGGCCCCGCAAGGTGAAAATGGGATAGTGCTAGTGAGTGTCATGTAGGCACTAGCACCACCCGATTTGCGTTGTGCGTGCTTGCAGCCCTGTGTGTGTGTGTGTGTGTGTGTGTGTAAAATGCTTCCCCCTCCCTTTCCCTCCAGTCCGCCAATTGAGAAAAGTTGGAGACCTCTGCATCAGAGAATCTGCATGATAGGCAGATAGATGACAGATAGAGACAGAATTAGATAGATGATCAAGAGATACAGATAATGCTTTGTGTCACTTCCTTAGCCAAGACTGGAGAATGTGTATCTCACTAGATGTCTGTTGAAATACAACTCCCAGCAGTCTTCACTATTGCCCTTGTTGTCCAGGTCTTCTGGGAGTTGTAGGTCAACTTCCCAAAAAGGTCACAGAGTCCTATTCCTGAATGAATTCCATCAAGTTGAATGGTCATTTACCAAAACCTCAGAGGACAGATTCTTGTCCTGAAGAGCTGCAATTTAAGGAATAAACATGTGGCACCACAAGTCAGATACCAATTAGGAACAAAGGGGAACAAACTTACCAAGCGTAGCTCAGGGATAGAACGGCTAAGAGTCCATTCTTGGCTATTTGCCACAGCCTCTAAAAAAGAAAAGGAAGGGGGAAAAAGACATAGACATAGATTAATAATAAATTGTAAGTATAATTCTACAGTTCCTACAACAGCTGTGTGAGGCAGCTGTGGTTGTTCCCACACTGCAGGTAGAAGAAGCTTCAGAAAATAGTGTTTGTCAGCACTCACACAGCAAGTTCCCAATCACCGTAAAATGCAATTTTAATTTGAACTATGTTGGCTCGCAGTTCACACTTGGGACACTGCGTTCCCATCAATACCCACCCAACAAGATAGGCTATTCCCTCTTGATCGCCACACAGAATCAAATAACATCTTTACAGCTCTCTTAGCAGACAGGAAACTCACTACCAAACACTTGATTGTGGGCTCAGTGTGATGGCAGGAATGCTAAAAAGAAACACAGCAATGGGGTCCTTCTCCTCATGTCCCGTCAGCTGCTCTACAGGGACAACTCACTCAACCCTGCAGCTCTCCCACGCACAACAGCCAGTTCTTTGTGCTACTTTCAGTGGGCCAGGAAGAACAGGAAAGGCAGCTGCGACTGGGTGTGCAACCCCCTTCCAGTGTTCTTGGGACAAGTGTCAGAGAAAAAGGATGCACTCAACAGGGCATAAAGTGTCCTCTCAAGAAGAGGTCTGAGTGGCAGGGAATGCACCAAGTGAAACTAGAGGCAGGTGTTTGTGTTGGTACCTTGGAGAAGCTGCTCAGAGACAAGTCTGGACTATTACTTCATTGTTGGTGGCCAAGGTTTAGCTTGACCAAATTTCCAAAGCATTCAGTAATTTGGGGGTGGAAGAAAAGATCTTTGCCAACTCTGACATTTATGCAGAGCAAGAGATTGTATGTGGGGAGATAAAGAGGCCATAGATATACCAGCAAATCAAAGAGAAAAATTGCCATACATAGAAGGGGAAACAATTAGATAAATACAGTGGTGGAATTCAGCCAGGTCGCATCAGTTCGGCAGACCCGGTAGCTCATTTTTTGTTGCCCAGGCCCAGAATGGACTTCCGGAAGCGGCATCCACACAGAGAACCGGTTGTTCACATATTTGAATCCCACCATTGGATAAATGTCTAAATTGAACTAGATCTCAGTACTACATTTGTGTTCCTTAAATTGTTTAAGCTTGAAGGAAGTCTCTGAGCATACATAAACTATTTTTCCTCACTAAAACAAATCTGCAGAAGGATTAGAAGTCAGACAACATAGGCTCCCAAACAGAATTTTCTTCACCAGTATCACTCCTTTTAGAAATTAGTAAAAGAACGAAGAGGGAAAAAAAAGCATGCAGACATTGGTCTGCCTATCAGCACTGAACATGTAGATTTATGTTTTCTCATCTGTCAAGGTAAGCAATTTGATTCAGATAATTCAGACGTCAAATCCTATTAGCCATAGCCAACGTGGCTAATTGTAAAAGATGTAGAAATGACAGCGTTTAGAACATCTGGAGGGCGGTAGGTAGATTTATAGATTTAAAATGCATGAACCAATGAGCAAAATCTCATCATGTAGCCACGGATGCTTGCGTGCGTCCATGCTCTTTTCCAGAATCACCGAAACATCTGTGCAATATGGCTCTGCTATTTGCATATTCATGTAAGATGTCCAGCAATGGAAATAGATCGGCCTCACTCAGCCACTTGCAGACTTCTCTGTATGCAAAATACACTTTGAAGAGTCTACTGCAACCACCGAGGTCACTAACGTTCACTTCCCAGCCATTTTAAAAACCAATTATAATTCTTGCCATCATTCTGTCAGTTGTGGTTACGTGCACTCTGGGCTAAGTGGTCATTTGTATTTATTTTCAGACCACGCTGTCCTTATTTCTAAACATTAATGTGCCAAGGTCTGAGCAGGCTTGGAACCAAGAAGACCACTAGCCTGAAAAATAAGCAAACTGGACAGTATATTGGTGATTGAACCGTGGTGCCGCAGTGGTTAGAATGCAGTACTGCAGGCTATTCCTGCTGCTTGCCGGCTGCCTGCAGTTCAGCAGTTCGATTCTGACCAGCTCAAGGTTGTCTCAGCCTTCTGTCTTTCCCAGGTCGGTAAAATGAAGACCCAGATTGTTATTGGGGGCAATAGGCTGACTCTGTAAACTGCTTAGAGAAGGCTGTTAAGTGCTATTGCTATTGCATTGGAGAAATGGGAACAGCAGAACCAGACTGTGATCCATGTTTGTGCAAGGCTGCTATGTGAATTCTCATGACAATGTACCAAATGCCTAAATTATAAAAGGAAAAAGGTAAGATTGGCACTAAGTTGACTTGCAATAACATCCATCCTAGCTGGCAAAAATTAACATCAACATGAGACCTGAAAACAGGACAAGTTCAAAGCAAGCCTGATCAGAAGGAAGTTGAGTTGTCAAGCAAAGGAAATCTCTTCCCTGCCCACAGCACTATACACCTAACTACACAGAGCATATATCCAATACTTTCCAAATTTCTGAGGTAATCTAATGGATTTAGATTAAAGCTACGACAAGTATGAGTTCACTGAATGGCTTGAATCAAATTTGAAATCTTATTCCAGCCTCCTTGTACAAAATATTGCTTCCAGTGGGATATTTCTGGCATTAAAATGGTTGGCTATTGTCTGTGGTCTCCTCTGAAGATGTGTTTGGTTACTGTTACATTGGACATGTGAATGCTCACGAGGGACCTACATTGACAAACCAACAACCTTAAAACCAGGATTCTGAGGGATACTTTGTGGGGGAATGGAAGTTGCTATGGTAATAGAAATGACTACAAGCCCGCACACATTCAAAACATTACCACTTGTAGGGAATATTAGCACAATTTGTAACATATGAACCAGTTCTTCCCCTTCCAAACCAGCATGTCCTTACATACTGGGGTGGAAAAAGTAGTGAAAGCTTTCTTCTCCTTCAATTTCTCTGGTTTTAAGGATCTCTGACTGAACTGCCCTTACCTTGTGCATCTGAGCATCAAGGTAAATGCAGACGGCCATGCACAAAAACACAGCTAAAGCCTTTTCTTGCTCTCTCTGTGTGTTAACTTGAAACTGTTGCTTAGCAACAGCTCCCTGCATATCACCAAGGTAACCAAAGAGAAAAGGGGACAAGAGTGCAGACCCTGCTGGTCTTCTGCTACAGAACCCAAAGGGCATTACTTACTACTTATTCAGAAGCAATGTAACCCCCTCCAAATTTGACCTGTCTACTTGACACCTACTGGCAGGTCAAGTGTCCCCTTTTAACACCAATACCAACAATAAAAGGGCCTTTTTCTTTTGCTAGCTTATTGACCCACCAAATTATTTGGCAGGTCCAGTAAAAGGAAAGTCCAATTAGGTTGTGTGCCTTGTTGATCTTGGCTGATCTAGAAAGCTAAGCAGGGTTGACTCTGGTTAATACCTGGATGGGGCCATCCAAGACTGTGAGCTAGAGTCAGAAGTCAAAACAACATCCTGAAATATGGCAACAGGAAACCACTTCCATGTTTACCAAGGAAACTCCATGTATACAGTTCACCAAGAGTCAAGCTTACTCCAGGGTGACTTGATTTTGAAAAAGGATATGGTGGAATGTAATTCTGCACCCAGGTTGGAGCCTCTTGCTCCCCCAAATATGATGATAACACACAGCCACACCCTTCCTTAATGCAACCTTCCTATGCACGATGACCTGCAGATTAGGAATTTCTGCTTCCATTATTCCTAGCCATCAGTATCATGGATCTTATTGGCTACGGCTTATGAGAGCCTAATACCGCTGGGAGCCCACTAGTTTGGAGAAAAGTGAATGTATACAGGCACTGACCGATGATTTAGATTATTCTTGATCATAATTATTTATCTGCTGGCAGCCATACATGCCCATCTTTTGACAAGTAAAGATTTTAGCCCTACCAGTCACCTCTGAAAGCAAAAAGTGGAACTTCGTAACCCCAGTTTTGAGAATTTGACAGTCTTTCATTGTAAAGACTGGTGCTTCATTTTGTTAAAATATTTTTTATTGAAAGTTTTACCAAGAACATCAAAACTAACACAAATTAATAAAGAGTAAAAGCAGCAAAGAAAGGAAAGAGAAAGAAAAAAGGAACAAGTGCACAAAGAAAGAAAGAAAGAAAGAAAGAAAACAGAAAAAAAATCTTCCGATTCCTTCTGCAGCAAATATAAGTGCAATTACAAAATTATCTCTTACTCTATGATTACAAAAGAAAACTAACTCTATTATCCAGGTTTTTCTAACCATTAAACCCCAAAATTGTATGTGCATTTTTTTTTTCTGTTTTATGGGAAAAGTCTGTAAGGGTTTCCCAGTCAGCCATAGATATTGTTTTTTTCTCTAATCAAAGAGGTTAAATTTAGGCATCTCCACGTGTTCCATCATCTTTTTTATGTTGCTTCAAACTAGTAAATTTCATTGGCATAATTCTTATTTGGTTTAAATGCTTTAAAGTACCCTGCTCCCACATTAAATACATTTATCTTACTATACAAAAAACTGCCACTCAGGCTGAATACAGTTATTCTGTTGATGGGGCTGAGAGATAGATGAGGAACTAGGACTGAAACTCCTGGTAGCAACATTAAGTGTGGGTACAAAGAAAGCATCCACTGTCACAGCTGTCCTAAAGTCCACACATAATTCTTTTACAAAGAAAAGTTCCTACTCAAGCACGAGTCTCTTTGGAGTGACTGCCAGGGGCTGACATTGTTCTCTCAGATTATGATGTAAGCAAAGAGCAGGCAGGATGGAGAGGGAACTGGCAGCTTTGTCCCTCCAGCAGCACCCCCCCCCCACTCAAAGTCACAATATTCTCTCTTCTGGGGAAGCCACGTCAAAACCTGAACTTCAAACGTGCAAAAAGGTAGGCTGTGATGGGGACAACGCACATGGCAACCTCCCTCTCTCCCACTCTTTGTTTTTTCCTTTTTGGGCTGTGGAAAGAATATTGCTCAGTAGCTTGTGCAAAGCTGAAACAGGGTTTATAATTTAGATCACCATGACAATAAATTTCTATGC